AGGGCCCTCCACCTGTCTCTTATCAGGAAGTCTGGCCTCAACAAATCTGGCCACTTCGAGTCCTGATAAATGGCCTTAGACAGAGAGAGACACAGAGACAGAGAGAGAGAGAGACACAGAGACACAGAGAGAGAGACACAGAGAGAGACTGATCTCAGTGTTCAACTATCCACTGGTGCTTAGTTTGCATTGTGCAGTGCTGGATTGTACAATGAATTATTATATTAAAACCCTAACTTTCTTTTAGTAATAAATCAGCAAGTTTAATTTTATTTTATTTTTTATTCAAGAGGAGCTGTTTAATGAGAAATTTAACTCATAGCTTCCTTCTGGATATCCTTCTCATTCAGGAACCTCCGCTGTTAAAATATTGCCATGCCATTGTCGTGTTGTGGGAACCTACCAAATGTACACATGTAGAGTTTTGTTCCAGTCTTTCCCACAGATTAACAGCGTAACTGTGGCTGGGGGGTAGGGTAGTTGCAGTGGACTGTCACAGGTGTTATGCCGAATTTTGCATGCCTGCTGAGAACATTTACATTTACTCATTTGGCAGACGCTTTTATCCAAAGCGACTTACATTTGAGGAACAGCATACAAGCATCAACAGAGCATCAAATACAACTGACAATACATACTAGTAAGAGCAGCAATAAGTACTAGTAAGAGCTCATAGTACATATCACATCAATGGTGTAAATACATAGGTAAGGAAGTAAGAGTTAACAAAAAGTGCAATCAATACAAGATAATTGTAGGGGATAAAAGAAGAAGAGCACAGGACGTGCATGTTAGAGGTTAGGAGTTAGAGGTGTTATAAGAGGAAGTGTTCTCAGAAGAGATGAGTTTTCAAGAGCTTCTTGAAGTTAGAGAGAGACGCCCCTGCTCTGATGGCGTGTGGTAGCTCGTTCCACCATCGTGGTGTCACAGATGAGAATAGCCGGGACTGGGATTGCTTTGTGTGAAGGGATGGCAGAGCCAGGCGGCGTTCGTTGGAGGAGCGTTGCGGCCGAGAAGGAACGTAAGTTTGTATTATGGAGTTTAGGTAGATGGGTGCAGACCCAGTAGTCACTCTGTATGCAAGCATTAGTCACTTGAATTTGATTCTGGAGGACACAGGGAGCCAGTGGAGGTCACTGAGTAATGGAGTGACATGAGTCCTTTTGGGCTGATCAAAAACCAGACGCGCTGCTGCATTCTGAACCATTTGTAAGGGTTTCACCGCACAAGCTGAAAGACCTGCTAGGAGGGCATCGCAGTAGTCGAGGCGAGAGATAACCATGGCCTGTACCAGAAGCTGGGTGGCGTACTGAGTGAGGTAGGGCCTGATTTTCCTTATGTTGTATAGAGCAAAGCGACATGACCAAGAGACAGCAGCAACATGGTCTGAAAAGGACAGCTGGTCATCAATCATGACACCCAAGTTTCTCAACACCTTGGTTGGAGTGATGGTTGAGGAGTCAATTTGTAGTCTGATGTTATGGTGGATAGATTGCTTGGCTGGAATGACCAAGAGTTCAGTATTAGAGAGGTTTAGTGGAAGGTGGCAAGCCTTCATCCATGCAGATGTGTCTGAGAGACAGTCCGTGATCCGCGCCGAGACGGTGGGATCGCCTGGCGGCAAGGATAGGTAGAGTTGTGTATCGTCTGCGTAGCAGTGGTAAGAGAAGCCGTGCGAGTGAATGATCAGCCCCAGTGAGGTGGTGTAAATTGAGAAGAGAAGGGACCCTAGCACTGAGCCTTGAGGCACCCCTGTGGAGAGGCAGTGGGAGGAGGATAATTGTCCTTGCCACAAAACATTGTAGGAACGCCCCAAGAGGTAGGATTTGAACCACAGGAGTGCTTTACTCGAGATGCCCATTGCTGAGAGAGCGGATAGCAGGATCCTGTGGTTGACTGTGTCAAAGGCAGCTAATAGGTCAAGCAGGATAAGAACCGAGGATTGGGCTGCCGTGAGAGGAATTCTGTATCTGTTTGAATACTGCCCGTTCAATAGTTTTGGATAAAAATGGTAGAAGAGACACTGGTCGATAGTTCTCAACTTGAGTTGGGTCAAGGGAGGGCTTTTTGAGCAAGGGTGTAACCCGGGCCCTTTTGAAAGTGGTCGGGAAGGTTCCTGAAGCCAGAGACGTATTTATCACATGAGTGATTGTCGGGACCACGGTAGGAGATATGGCTTGGAGGAGATTCGTAGGAATCGGGTCCAGTGGGCATGTAGTTGGATGGCTACGGGACAAGAGTTCTGATACTTCGCTCTCTGTGAGAGGAGTAAATGAGGAGAGTGAAGAACCACTGACCTGGGAGGGCAGAGGAAAAGATGTAGTAGGACTGATACAATGGCTGAGTTTGAATGTTTCAGAGAAGCTAGTTATAGCCGACACTTTGCCTGTGAAGAAGGCAGCAAAGGTATCAGCAGACAAGTTTGTGGGTGGTGGAGGTGGAGGAGGATTTAGTAGCGCTTTAAAAATGGTTTGGGCGAGCAGGCTTGGTGGATAGAGGACACAGGCTATCCAGGCACGAGCTTAGTGTAGAGCATAGAGATTGTGTGGCATCACTGACCTCAAGTGAGGAAAAAATGTTGAGGGAAGGTAGAGCGGAAGCTACCACTGAGGCAAAGTGAGCGGGAGACAGGTTGCGGAGGTTGCGGCGGTTGCGGCGGTGTGAGACCAATGGTGTTGGAAGGATGGGCTTTTCCTGTAGGCGTGAACTGAATGAAATAGTGGTCTGACACATGTAGAGGTGTGACTGTTAGGCACTCTGTGGCACAGTTTCGGACAAGAACGAGGTCAAGCACCTTGCCAGCTTTGTGGGTCGGGGGGCTGAGAACCCGTGTTAGACCAAAGGACTGAATCAGAGACAGGAAGTCTGCTGAGTTCGAATTGTCTAAGTGAATGTTCATGTCACTGAGGACAAGTAGGGGACAGTCATGCTCTGGGATTGAAGACAGCAGTGTGTCTAGCTCCTCCACAAAGTTACCCATTTGTCCTGTAGGAAAATGCATTAACGTCCTGCTTTTAAACGTAATACTATTCTTTGTGGGGTTCATCAATAGTGATAAATGATCAGTATATATTTTATGAACGTTAATCGTTAATATATTATTACACATAACCTAGTAAAAGTACCATTTCTTGAGATTCAGTAAAAAAAATGTGGCATTAACCGTGTTCAAACAGCAAAGTGTCCTAAAAGGACCTTAAGAAGTGAACTGTGAATTCACGGCAGGCATGCAGAATTTGGCACAACACCTGCGCTGCAAAACGTCACTAGACCTCGTGAGAGCAAGTCCTGAGTAAGCTCACGCAGTCTACCAGAGGTAGATTGTGTCTGACTTGACGGAGCTGTTTTTATTCCCCTATCTATCAAGACGGTGAAAGTCAGCCAGCTATCTCGAACGCACCTCCTTATTAGCTAGGCTCCTTACATGCTTGCTACTAACTGTTTTGAAGATAGGTCTCCGACATTGACAGCATTGTGTTGGACAGATTTGTGCAGCGGTGTTTATGATACCTACCATTCAATTCACAGACGGGTCTGTTGTCCGTGTTTGCGAGAAAGAGAGACAGAGCGACCGAGTGAGAGGATGTGCGGAGCGAATATGCGCTGCACAGCTCTGCAATCAAGAACGATTTTAAAATGGGTCGCCAAATTTACTGCCCAAGTAAAGCCTATGTATGGGAAACACTGTGTTCATACAGCTCTGAGAATGTGATTGTTTGGCAACATGTCGTCATACCTAAACGACAAAATAGGCCGAGTCTGTGAGTACAATTGATCTGTTAAAACGACATAAAAATGAAATATGCTGCAGAGAGTGTTCTGTAAAATCACTCCTGCAGAAATGCAAAGCAATGAAACCACCAAATTTTATCCATAATATATTTCTGTTTTCATTGCAGCAGTCCTAGCCTCTGTTTTGTAGTGCTCATTATCAGAACGGCCCTTCGATTAAAGCCCTCAGGAGGCGCTTTAGAGCCAGAACATTAATGCCATCTGGTTTATAACAATTCCACCAGGAAAACAGTCCTGCCCTTGTTTTGAGTGTGTGTGTGTCTTTGACTATGTGTGTATGTATTTATTTGCTTGTGCCACTGCTGCTAAGCTGTTCTGCTCAGACTGTAACATGCTAATCAGTTGAGTCCAGACAGGTGGAAGTAATAGCCGTCAGTGTTTCTACCGTCTCTAGCCCTGTTAGCTTCATTAGCTAATCACAGCCACAGATGCTCTGTTGCAAACGAACCACTTGGGCCTTCCATTCGCCCCTCAGCTTCCAATCTCCCAGCTCCTCGCCTCCTGGCCCCCCCAGGCATATGCCTAGCCTCGATATTACACAACACAGTCAAGTCTGTGGGTCGATATCGGTCTTTGTTTGTTCATTTCTGCATCTTGCATATCTTAGACAATGTCCGGATTTTTGACTACATTTTTCTATTTTCAGTGTTCCACTGATTAGACAGATGCTGCAACTACAAGTCAAATCATTGTGACATTCTGGGGTATCATGTTGACCAAGTAGTCTAATGTGAGTCCTTTCATCTCCCTGATTTAAATCCTGGTCAGGGTTCCCATATTTTTTGTTTCTCTCTGCCTCAACATTTTTGAACATATGAAGTTGATTCAAATAACTGAAAAGTTTGCCTTAAGAAGAAACACGGTGTGTGTGTTTCACCAATCTGGATTTAGCAATAATTGAATCCAACTCTTATGAGAGTTGTGGAGTCAGTTTGGAAATAATAGCAGTTTAACAGCCAGTATTTGGGTTTGTGTTCACATTTTGGATTGTGGCTTTAAAAATGTAAGCCATCTTAAAAAAGGTTAGATATTGTATTTGTTGCTTGTTGCAGTGAATCACCTTTTGTGTCATGCTACAGTTTTTTAAAGAGAAAGAAGTACAACTGTGCATGTACTGCATTTTATTGAGAAACTAAACTGTTAAATGCACTTTTTCTTCTTCCTTGCCCTTCTCTTTTCTGATTGTCCCTTTCCTTTACTCTTTCCAGGGTCGCCATGTTAAGACAGGGCAGCTTGCAGCCATCAAGGTCATGGATGTCACCGGGGTAAGACACACACATACTCGCGTGCACTCACTCACTCACTCACATGCATACACGCACATACCCTCGCACAGCAACAAATCTCAAATGATTATACCACCATCGACCATGTCATCTAATTATGAGCGATGAGTCAGTGCTGGCGTGTGTGTATGAGTGTGTGCGTGTGATGTGGCAGAGAGGAAATGAGGACAGGCCCATTGCCATGGTAATATTAGCTGGAGGTATTAGGACAGCAGTGTGGTCTCAGGCGTGTCTGTAAAGCAGGAGGGAATCTCAGCTATATTTAGAGATCCTCTCACCCTACGCCTCCCTGTAAGCACTCAGCTGCCAGCAAAACAATAAAGGACTGCAGGAATGAAGCAACAAAGGAACTGGTGAATGAATAGGAGCATGAATGAATGAATAAGGGAATGAATATATGCAGGTGTATATATATGAATGAATGAGCAAAATACCAACAGAATATAAGTATGAACAATGCAAGGCCTCATGGAAGAACTACTGGTATGAACAGATTTGTTCTTAAGTGGCTTGTTGGAGCGATTTGGGAGAACTTTCTCATATTTGTTTTCTTAGATAAGAACACAATTTATAAGCACCTGTCATAGGAGTCATGTGCAATTAATCTGCTGTTATCCCAACCTACGTTTTTCACTAATGGATTGTGTATTACGCTAAAGTACTTTTAATTTTATTCTGTTTGATTTCCTGTTTGAATTTTTAAAATTCATTAATATAGCCTAACAATATCATAATACATTTAAACTGGCTATTGGTGCTACTGTATGACACTACAATATCAATTTAATTATCTCAAACTGCAAAACGATCATTTATGGATCTTCGCAAAGCAGGACTTCAGTGTCCGAACTTATAAAGATCAACTTTTTACTGGAAGTCAGTCCAGTCTCGGACATATGGCTAAATTACAATTGTCATGAACGTGTGCCCAATTACGCACAGTAAGCACTGATCATGTTTACGCATGCCTTTCAAACTGTTTACAGAAAAAAAGAAAAAATAGAGAAAGTTAAGATAAGAACACGAAAATGTTCTTGCATGATGTCCATTAAATAATCAAATAAATGAAACTGTGTACGACTGACTGTGTGTGAATAAATCTGCTTAAATACAATAAAATAAATCACAATGGATGATTAAAAATTAAAAGGGCCAACACAAAAACTAATTATATGAGCCTCTACTGCACAAAATCAGCTTACTATACCAAGTGTCTTTGTTTTTATGGCTGATGAACACTCAAGTGAAGTAATCAATGCCTAATTGTGTGACATTGTGCGTAATGAAATTGAAATTACATTTTTAAGTAACCAACTGCCGCCATGATGACTTGTTTCAAACAACTGCTTTTGGCTTTGTGGCAGTAACCTCCTAAAACGAATTAATTAAAAGGTAATGCTGTTATTGTGGAATATGTAAGAGCCCAGCTGTATGCATTGCAACAACAGTTTTAAGAATTTAAATGGATTCATAATGCAAATCCATCAACAACTTCATTCCTTTTGCTCTATCACCACCTTACTAAGACGCGCGAGGGGTCACAAATAGAGATTGTGATTTAACGGCTGTTGATTTTTCTCTTCTTGTGTGTGTCAGGATGAGGAAGAGGAGATTAAAGCCGAAATTAACATGCTGAAGAAATACAGTCACCACCGGAACATCGCCACCTACTATGGAGCATTTGTCAAGAAAAACCCTCCTGGCATAGATGACCAGCTATGGGTAAGGTATTATTTGTGTTTGTTTGTGCATGTTTTTTGTCTGCATTTTTGCAACTCCATATGTTTGTGTGTATGAAACGGAGTGTAAGAGAAGATGGCTGTGTCATCTTCTCTTACTGGCGGGCACACAGTGCAGAACAGAAAAAAGTGACTTCCCATTTTTCCCCGTTACATTTTTGTGAAAGGAGTGTGTAGTTTGTACGAGGCGGCTGCAGGTTTGTATACATTAGAATGAATATATATGATATAAGTGTGTGGCCGGCTGGCTGCTGCAATAAATCATGTGTTAACACGATCTAAGGGAGCTCTCTGTTCTCTGATCCTGTAGCATTCATCACACAACAACGGGAGGACACACACACAAACATATGCATATACACAGCAGCCAGATCTACTGCCTGCATAATTCTCCAAGACTCAACAGCTGCCTGTTTTCCGTGTTTGTGTGTGTGTTAGTGATGACATGCAGTGATGTATGTTTGCGTGTTTTGACATGTGTGCCCTTATGTTTATGCGTATACAGTATGAGGATGTTTCTTTTGTCTTTGTGTCTGAGTGCACCTAAACAGCTTGGATGACAGGGGTTGGCTATTACTTGCCAACTTCCTCTCTCCCTGTAATGTAGAGTGATGATGAGGGGAGCTTGAAGCAGAGCCAGAACTGACCAGCTGAACTTTTGCCCGCAAAGAGGAGAGGAGAGAAGACATGAGGCAGATAGGAAAGAGAAGGACAGAATGGACACATTGTGTCAAGAGATGGACTTGATTCATCCATGCAATCCCATGACCAAACTGAGTCAGATTGTGCAGTAGTTTCTGCAGTGTCTGTGGAGTATGTGTTGGTTAAGAGTGACTGTAATTTGACAGTCTGTTCATGTACGTAGGCAATGTGTATTTCTCTCTCTATCACTAATGCTATTACAGTAATTTGATTATAGGCACTGTGTATTTTTGTACTGTGAAACTGGATTTTTGAGGCAGAAAACAATATCAGTACTTCAGAATAAAAAAATACAATAACAATATATTGAGGATATTTTACAGTTAAACCAATATATCTGTGATAACCTCGGCTATTGTACGTTTATAATGAAACTCGTATAAGGGAAAAAGAGAGGTGTGGCTTTGTTATTAATTAATTGCTATATTAAAATGGAAGAAAAGATTTGCTCAAAGTACTGAATAAATACATAAATAAACAAGTATGATTGTTTACCTTACTGGCTTCCTTGCCAGATCCTGGACCAGATTTTGTAGAACAGTCAATTTATTTATTTATTTCAGGTTTATTTAACAGGGACAATGCACACTAATAATAAATAATATACATAAATAAATGTATAATGTGCCAGAATTAGCCAAAAGGCTATTTAACATCTGCTGTCCCTGTGTAGCTGGTCATGGAGTTCTGTGGAGCCGGCTCAGTGACAGACTTGATCAAGAACACCAAGGGCAACTCTCTGAAAGAGGAGTGGACCGCTTACATCTGCAGAGAGATTCTCAGGGTAAGTGGCCACGTTTGCAAGTCAGTCAAACAAGATCTGACTAATGTAAAAATCTTGTTTAAGTCCTCCACCTGTCCTCCATGAGTAAGTAATTATTGTGATCCTTGGTGACATTTCCCTCGGAATGCATGACTGTGGGATTTGTGTGAAGTAGAAAGTGTCAAAAAGTTCATTTTTCAAAAGAAATGCTCCTGAAGAATGATCAGACGTGATTTATGGAAAATAACAATATCCTTATTGCTGGACGGCAATATGTAGCAGTGCCAGTCAGTAAAAACAGACAGATGTTAGTGTCCATGTCCTTCCAGACCAAGGGAACAAGACATTACAAGTCTAAATCTCCATTGGTGAAGCTCAGATAATCAAGACTTATTGACGTGCTACATGCAAAGATACTTTTGCACACATGGACAGGTACATAATGCTTTAACCCGCCTGAACTAAGTGGAATTTCAACAAAAGAAAAACAAAATCCGAATCATTTTATGATCAAGCAAAATGCTATTGATTATAGCATTGACAACAAACAATGATTCACTAGGAAAAAATAATAATGACTAATGCCCCAGTGTAAACAAACACAACGGTATTTCTCCGTGGCCGCAGGCAACCAACCCATAGACAGCGACTAGTCAAAACTATGCAAGATGGGGTAAAAATATCACATTGTGATGACAGATATTATAATTTGCTATACAATTCACATTTAGTGGGAATTAAAATCACAATGATGTGATATGTCTCTACCAAACAAAAATGTTTTCTTACATCTGGAGAACAAGATTTGTAGGCCAGGGCATCTCTGCAGCACTATAGTACTTCATTATTATGCTGTTTTGTCACACATTTTACCCTCATCATGCAATTTGGATATTACACTTGGTCTTATTAGAATTTCATTAATATTTCAGTTGATTGTGCCTAGTCAAAACAATCTCACAGTCTCATAACACAGTTCACTTTTAAAGCCATAAAATATTGAGTGTCGGCATCAATGAACTGATTAGTTGATCTTTCTCCTGTGCAATGTTAACTATTAGTTACAGTAGCTACAGACACAAGAGCTGACTGAACCTGTTGTGAGTCAAGGAAAGCTTCAGTCAACTGTCACTATTGTAGAAAAAAGGATAAAGTGCGTTTTCCCTGTTGCTTCTTAACACAGACATGTTCTTTGATTGCAATCAACAGTTGTTTGTGTTTCAAGATGTCAGTGTTATGGAGTTATGTGTAGACATGAATTTAATCTTCTTGGGAAATCTTACTCATTCTCCCCCATCTTATCTCTGCTTTTTTTTTTTTTGTGCTGAGGGCTGAGCCTCAAACAGAGAGCAGCAATATCACTGCATCTTGTCAGTTATACACAGCGCTGCTCTGAACTGAGGCAACAATGACTTCCTTTCATCCACTTTTATTTTCTTTTTTTGCCCTTCATCTCACATCTTATTTCGTGCTCTCTGCTTTCCCTTTTCCTGCTCTGATTTAGCTGTCTTATATTTCTTTCTCTGCGCCACTGTCCCTCTAAGTTTTGTCTCTCTTCTTTCCCCTCTTTTTTTACTATGGTTTTCTTTTTCTATTTCTGTGTCCTTTTCTATTATTTTCTTGTCACCCCTCTGTCCTTTTTAACATTTTTACTCTCCATCTCACATTTCTCTGTGTTTTACTTGTTACTTGTAATGAATGATGGAGTTAAGGTGATGCATTTTGCTCCAAAATGTATGTTTAATAAGACTTACGATAGTACTTATACTGCTCTTGCAAAAACATTTTTCTTTGTATGGAAGATTTTTTTTTGTCCACCACTCCTGCACTGGAAGGTGAGAGGTCAAGGTCAGCTACACAGTAACAACCCCTGGAACTGCTAGTTCTGCTCAAGGACACTTCCTCTTGGACATAAGCTCTTTATATAGTAATAGTAATCATGACTTGGCTCTGGAGTGGTGTTCGTTCACTGTGTGTCCATGTCGCTGTCTGCAGGGTCTGACTCATCTCCATCAGCACAAGGTCATCCACAGAGACATCAAGGGACAGAATGTCCTGCTGACTGAGAACGCAGAGGTCAAACTAGGTCAGTCTGTCATCTAACGCCACTTGACAAAATGGCTTTAGGACTGGGTGGGCAGGAGGAGGTATAAAGTTTCAGATGGCTCAGAGGTGTGTTTTTGTGTTCCTATTGCTGAATACCAGCCTACTCATCTTTGTAGCTCTGCCACTGTTCATGGTGCAGATTGCTGAAGAAGGAACTCTCTTTCTCGCTCTCCCCCTAAAGCGCAGTGGCGAGGGGATTATAAAGTGTGTGTGAGTGTGTGTGTGTGTGTGTGTGTGTGTGTGTGTAAATCAGGCAAACTATTGCAGGTTTGGTCATTTGTTCCTGTTTTGATACCCATTATGGAATTGAAGCCCACTGGTATCTTTGTGCATCAGCACACACACACCCAAACAAGCATGCAGAGAGCAAACTGCAGACTATATCCTGAAGTATTTTGTTCGTGTGTTTGTGCACTTGCCCTGCAGTGGACTTTGGTGTTTCAGCCCAGTTGGACAGAACAGTAGGAAGGAGGAACACGTTTATTGGGACGCCATATTGGATGGCACCAGAGGTTATCGCCTGTGACGAGAACCCTGACGCCACGTACGACTTCAAGGTACTTCAGCAGCCCCCTGTCCGCTGAACATATCTGTCTGTTGTGCTTTTTTTGATATATATATTAATGCACTGCATTTCTGTCATTACAGAGTGATTTATGGTCACTTGGAATCACAGCAATAGAGATGGCTGAAGGAGCACCACGTATGTACCCAGTCAATAACCCACACCTCTGCTACACATCATTTCTTAGTGCTACTACAGTAGATCACTATCAAGAGTCATTCTTTAGTCCAGACCATTGCAGCTCATCTGTAGCCATAATTTTAATGACAGCCAAGAAGCGGATATGAAATTGGTTGTCAAATTGCTTCTCTTTTTTCATTTCTTTCCATTCATTACCTTATTCCTTGAGCCTTGTTCCTAGAGGTATGTGCACGAGTTATTATGATGATTGTGATTTTGGTTCAGTAAAAGAGCAACTTGTGGAGAAAGTCTGCCCACCCTACAGTCTAATTGATTACAGTAATCATGAAGGACATCATTTAGTTTAGTCAAGGTTGTTCTGGTTCTAGTCAAGGATGGTCCAATGCTGCATCTTGGAAGACATTCTCTAACTGGATGAGAATATGTCAGTGTGTGCTAATTAGGATGCCTGAAATTGGTGAAAACACATGGCGCACGTACTCCAAACAAAAAGAAAAATGTATCCAAAACATGTACAGTATGTCTCTTATTGTTTTTTATGTCTTCTATTCATTTCAGTGCTAAGTTTGACAATATTAAGTTTGAATATTAAACCTTAAATAACCAAATGATATAGCAGTACATGCAACTGCTCATTTGTGAGATGGATAACAAACTTAGGCGACATGACCTATGTGTGTAAAACTAATAGATTGTTATCAGTATTGAGAGCATATATTGATCATGGACTAACTCCAGCTGACCTTTACTGTATGCCGTGATAAAGTTTAGAACAATTAGCTAGAAACATTCACCCCAACTTACCCATGTTTGCTTCTTGATTTCTTACTTTTTAGCGCTGTGTGACATGCACCCAATGAGAGCCCTCTTCCTCATCCCGCGCAACCCTGCCCCCAGACTCAAGTCAAAGAAGTGGTGAGCGTGTATCTTGATAATTGTGTTAGCCGTGCGTATTTGCAGATAATTCGGAGCAACACTATCAGAAGCAGGATAATCAGTTCAGACATACACTGCATTTCAGCAGGTTTCTTCATTTGCTCTTTTGGTGTATGCATGTGTGGTTTCAGGTCGAAGAAGTTCCAGTCATTCATAGAGAGCTGTCTGGTGAAGAGTCACGGCCAGAGACCCAGCACAGAGCAGCTCCTCAAACACCCCTTCATAAGAGACCTGCCCAATGAGAGGCAGGTCCGCATTCAGCTGAAGGACCACATCGACCGCACCAAGAAGAAGAGAGGAGAGAGGGGTGAGGAAGAACATGTGCTATATATGTATGATGACTTATGGATTTTGTACATGTAGATTAACACACAAAGAATGCTGAAAATGACAAATGTTCAATGAACAATCGCTGTTTGAGCGAACCTATATGAAAAACACATTGTGTTTTCTGTGACTGTTCAAAATAAAAGCCACCCCGTGATTCGCCAGTTTAAAACATTTAATATGAAGCAGCAGCAGTAGGAAATGCTTGGTATTTGTTAACAATAACAGCTCTGTAAATGCTGGATTACATACATTCATCGTTTGCTGTAAATCCCTCGTGCATGTGAAGGCAAATTAAATCCCATGTGGGAATGGCGGACTCCGCCTCTGACAATGAAAACTAATACATAAACCAGCAATTACTGAATCTAAATACATTGCAAAGCCATTGCTGAAAAACTGCAGATTTCACATAATTAGTATCAAAAACAGATTTCATGAAAATCTTAGAAATTATAACTTCAAAGTATAGTAGGCCCATTCATTACATGCTCGCACAGATACACACTCATTGCACAAAAAGAAAATATGGCCATAAGGGTGTGTAATACACTTTCAGATGTGCACACAGACACAAATTCTCACACACATGTGCTGTCACATTCATGGTTCTTAGAGAGGCGGGACAGAGTGACAGGCTCCCATTCCACTCCACCACGACACACACGCACAGACTCAGAGTGATAGACTGACACTTGCTCACAGAACTGCGCCAGTGAGAACCACATTAACCGCTTCAAGAAACAACATACTGGAGGACGGATGTCATGATGATGTATAGAAATGTCTTGTCATTGTAGAGACTGTGGCTTTCTCAAGCCGTCACTTTGTCACATTCGGAGGACAGGTCCGTGTGGATGTGTCTCAGGAAGAGCCGGGCCACTTCTACAACCATTATGTTTTAAGCCCTGTTTGACTGAAAGCGCTCCGAGCTAATGTTCTCCACCTCGCTACACACAGTAAAATTACAATTTATACTCTTATTCAAAGCGGCTAAAAGAAAGTGCCTAGAAGGAGTGAGGATCAGAGAATGCCAAAATCGTGAGCAGTTTAGTAATGAACAAAGGTAGTTAGAGTATAAAATGAAAAATGTGAAGTGGAATGGCTTTGATCTGTGCTGGTTATTACCTTCCTCATTTTAGTTTTATTCTTTTCAACTGTTTTTATTCTTCACATCTTTTTCCATCAGATGAGACAGAGTATGAGTACAGTGGCAGTGAAGAGGAGGATGAAGAAAGAGACATGGGTGAACCAAGGTCAGTGTCTGCGCAAATGTACAAACACAGACATAGACCGGAAAAACACATTTGACATCTTTTCACTAACTCCGTATCATCCTGCCTTGTCACTTGTGCATACCCAGCTCCATCATCAACATCCCTGGAGAGTCGACCCTGAGGCGGGACTTCCTGCGCCTCCAGGTGGCCAATAAGGAGCGTTCGGATGCGCAGCGGCGGCAGCAGCTGGAGCAACAGCAGAATGAGGAGCACAAGCGCTTACTGTTGGCTGAGAGACAGAAACGCATTGAGGAGCAGAAGGAGCAGAGGAGGCGGCTGGAGGAGGTAAGCAGCAGGATGTTGAATAGGAGGCATGACCTATGACATTGGTGAATGCATTTACCTACAGCAGCTTATACATTTTTAACATGGATAGTCCAAATTTACCTCTGGAGATTCGACCGGATAGCATAATTCAGATTTTAAAATAACTGTAATCTACTCTCAACACATTCACACATCGAAAGCCAATGGAAGCATTCTGTTTGGCTCTCTTCTTTTAAACATGATTTATCCCATTCTGGCAGATCAAATTTGTAAAATCTTTCATTCACCCTTTGGTAGAGGCTGTAGGAGAGAGCGATACAGACACACATACACTCACAGCCTTTCCCTAGTGTCCCTCTCTTAGTTCCAGAGAGCAGGCTTACAGAAGAAAATCCTTAGCCCATAATCTGTGCTCTCTCTCCTGGTTCCCACCAGGGTTTGCCTCCCAACGCACGGCTAAGCACCATGACTCGACTCCACTAACATGACCCCTCTACTCAGGGCCAAGTGTGTGTCTGCGACTCTGTGTGTGAGCCAACCAACGCATGTGTGTTTGTGCAAGTGTAAAGGCCTATGTTTGTGTCCTGTGTGAATGTGCTACAGTTCCTTCCTTTTTTAATAAAAGAATCTAAGCCAAAACCCATCGTGGACGGCAGAGAATGTCTGCTGAGGCATGATTTCCTAATTTGTGTGAAAACAGACAGCTCATTGCGCTGAGATCCTGACTCTTTGTGTGCTTGTGTTCTCCTGACAGCAGCAGCAGCGAGAGCGTGAGCTGAGGAAACAGCATGAGAGGGAACAGAGGAGGCGCTACGAGGAAATGGAGCAGCTCCGTAGAGAGGAAGAGAGGAGGCATGCAGAGAGAGAACAGGTTCATACTCTTTCTGTAATATTATATTAAAACACACATACTGTAAGCGGACAGACAGTATGATGCCATAGGAATTTGTAACGTGATAACAACTCAAGTCCAGAATCCCTCATTTGCCCTCAAACTTTTTGTTGTTTTCTGTTTCTTTTTATGGCAACATCTTCCCCCGTCTTTCTGAGTCAGTCTGATTTTCCTTGTCTCCTTAAATTACCTCCGAGGCGGATTTTCCTAATGTTTTTTCAAGGATTTCAGTTTCAGACACACTTGTCCGCAGAACTTGGACATTTTTAATCTGATGATATATTGTTTTTCTGTGCTCATGGACCCATCCCCACTGTTATTGGGTAACTTTCTTCTTCTCAGCTCCTGGATCTTGCATGCAAAAGACTTAACTGTCGCCTTCTTTCTCTTATTTTTGCCATATTTCAGTCTAACTGCTGCTAACTGAAATCAACTTTTATTGCAACATCCCTCCATCAGTTGGCTTAAAGCAAACAAATAGATGCCATCAATTTCACAAAGGAATCTGTAGCAAGATATTATTACTTTTGGAAAAGTTGATATTGTTGTGTCAGCAGATCCCTCAGGAAGAAATCAAGACATGCACTTGGCAATATCACCTGGCATATTATAAGTCACAATATAGGAGCCCCAATAGGTATGTCACCGCTAATAGGTCCAGAGGACAGATATTTTATGGTCTTTCAGAATATCCAGAGACAATGTTGAGTTCCTGAATTATTAAAAAAATAAGATTAAATTATTGCTCTTAATTATTTTCAGGTTTATTCATTTGCATACCCATATACAGAAATAGCTAACTATTTTCTATCATGCATGAAAAACTTCCTCATGTGTGTAAGATGATCAGTTTTCCCTCTACATCTTTTTCTTTTGCCAAATCTTTCCCCTGTCCTCTCATAGAACTTACTGCTGTTCTGGTGTGTATTTTCTATCTGTCCTAGTTCCTCTTTATCGCTCTATTGCTCTCCTCTCATGCTTTTCAAGTGTTTTGGAAAGATATATTACGACCTCTTTTTTTTCTCTGTCTCATTGTCATTTTTCCTTTGTAACACATTACAATTGTTTGAGAACATGGTCTTCTTCGCTTCATCTGGCTTCTGACTCTCATCTTCTCTCCCAATTCATAGCCAACCCAGGAGATTATCTTCTCTATTTCTCTTTCTATCTCTGTCTTTCTCTCTCTGTCTGTGTTTGGATATTCAGATTTCCTGATTTTTCTCTTGGTCTATTTCTATCTCCTTGTGCTGACACGCTACTCAGGAGTATATCCGTAGACAGCTGGAAGAGGAACAGAGGCAGTTAGAGATTCTCCAGCAGCAGCTACTACAGGAACAGGCATTACTGCTGGTAACCATAGCCCTCCCACGTGCTGCTACTGCTATCCATCTGTGCTTGTGTGGCCTGCCTATCCCCATTGCATGAACCCGAGTGTCAGTTTTACAGAACTCACTGTGAGGGAATCCACAGTCTGAGCCACCAAACCAGTTAGCTATATATTTGAGAAAAAGCCTTAAGCTGAAACAATGAATTGCACAACTCTTAATGCTTTGTTGAATTCATTCAGACCACTGACTGCATGTACAGTGAAATTAGTTGCCTGGATCTCAAAGGATTCTCAAGAAGGTGCAGAAAAACTGTTTTGTCAACCCCAATCATGTTCAAAGCGAGAACATCCAAGAGAATATAGGACATTGTTATTTTCCACAGAGGTTTTCTCTCGGTACCCCAGTCTTAGCAAGGGCAACACGTGTGTGCTTTATTAGTTCGAGGAATCCACAGTATGTCTTGTAGTATTTGTCCACTGCTCCTTGCATCCTATTTGAAGAGAAATTTAGGAAGGAAGAATAGAGAGAAACCTTTTGAGATCCAACCCATGTAAACTCCAAAGGCCACAGTAATGATTTCACACACCAAACCCCAGGAATGTGTTGTGGCTCAAAAAGTGGTGTCAACTATTGCCATCCTTCCTCCCTACATCTCCCCTTCCCTCTCTGTACCTACCTTCTACTCCCCCGGTCTCAAATGATTTGGAAATGCTTTATGTCTGGTTTTATTACAAAGAACCAATGTTTTCCTAATCGCCTTTATCCACCATCTGCCTTACAGTTGCCTTATAATTGTAAAAATTGTGTGTTCATGTTGCATGTATTGTATGTGATTCTAGTTGTCAATATTTGTGTTCATCAGTTTTATGATGCATGATTTGTGAAGGTGTTACTCGAATCTGACATTTGACGCAAGCCTGTCTCTCATCCCTGTCCACCCTCCCACACCCTCTCTCCCTCCAGGAGTACAAACGTAAGCAGGTAGAGGAACAGCGGCAGGCGGAGCGGCTACAGAGGCAGCTCCAGCAGGAGAGAGCCTACTTGGTGTCTCTACAACAGCAGCAGCAGCAGCAGCAACAACAACAACAACAACAACAACAACAGCAACAGCAGCAGCAGGAGGGAAGGCAAGCAGAAAAGAAGCTTTACCACTACAAAGATATCGTCAATCCTAGTGACAAGCCTGCCTGGGCTAAAGAGGTAAGTCACAACATGCATGATATATAAAGACATGCATGCAATTATGAATATGTGATGAGACATTACTTTTCTCGGGTGCGCAAGAGTGCCAGCTCTGACGAAAGTAGTACATTAAATATATGCATGTATTCGTGATGATCCCTGTAATGTTTTCATTAAATCAATCCTTTTTGTTAATTATACACACCCAGTGGCCTTCTTGTGTTGTTAATACCTAATCCAGCAGGTCTAACTAAAAGCAGCAGTCCTGTGAAGAAAGTAGGAGGGGGGAAGCGGGTACACCTTGCTTTTTGAATCTGAAGATACTTAACGCTGCTGCTTCGATAATCACACTGTGATGTCTCCTTTGTGTGTGTTTGTGTTGTCGCTTACCCTCCTCTGACTCTGACTTCTAGGTCCCGAAGAAGCAGCATGTTCAGGGTAACACACCCCGCTCCCACCTACGGCATCACCAGTCATTCAACCAACCGGCTTCATCCTCTGGCTCTCATGGCCAACACAGAACTCAGGCCCCTAGGCGATCCCCGTCCCATGGTGCCCAGCTCCTCTCCACAAACCTCCCCCGTATCCATATTTCACTAGACTCCGGAGAACCCCTAGATCCAGGGCTGAAGCAGGAGATAAGCCAGCAGGTCAGAGAGTTTAGGGCTCAGAAACTTAGTCAGAGGGGCCGCAGCCCAGGGCCCATCCAGAAACAAATCCAAGCTGCTGGCCAAGGGCCCATTAAGGGTTCTATTAAGAGTTGTAAAGGGCATTCTAGTCAAGAGCCAGTCAGTCAGTCTAATCTAGTACCCAACCCTTATCTTCTGGAGCCCAGTAATCAGAAAGAGAAGCCTAGAGACAGGCCTCTCTCTGCACCCAGTCAGGCAGCCATCCAGGGGCTAGTATCTCTGGACCCACAGTTTAAGGCTCTTCAGCCTCATCCTCAGTCCCCGGGACAGGCCCTGAACCTGCAGTCTGGATCTAACCCTGCGGTCAAACTGGTTAGTCGCCGTCCTCGCATCAGGTCGCACTCTCCTCGCTATAGAATAGATGTAGATATAGAACCGGAGTATCAGGGAGGGTTGCAAAATAAGACGAGGCCAGTCATCAGCCAGGAGAGCTTGGCGGTGCCCTCGGACTGGGAGGTCTCAGATTTTGACCCAACTGATCCCTTTTCTCAATCCTACCCTGACGGTATTTTGCACTCCGCCCTATCTAGACATAGGAACTCCTACTCACCTGCCTCCAACAGTGGCAATCTTCTTCAAGTCCCTGATAACAATAACAGCCTTTTCCTCACTTCTGATAGGACTGAAAGAGGAGGGAGATTGGGGAAGAATGCAAGAAGAGGTAGCTCCTCTATGTGTGACCTTAATGCTTCTGCGCCAGCAGACATTTTCAGACAGAAGCTGGATGAGGGCAGACTAAGAAGTAGTCGCTCCTCTGACCGTTTGCTATCCAGCTGTCTAAACAATCCAGTTCCTTGTTTGGGCCTTTCTCCTCGCACCTCTCCACAAAACTCCCCCTCATACTCCCCCTTGTCCTCAAGCCCATGCTCCTCGTCCCCTCCATTCTCTCCTGACAACCTTGTGTCCAACATGGCCAACACATCTTCACCACCTATCCACACCTACCTCCTCTTCCCCGACCACATCTCCTATCCCCTCCTGATCTCACCTGCCTCTACCCCTCACTGCTCCCCATATGGCTCTCCCTTCGGATCCCAGACCCATCTAGAATCCGCCCTATCTAGACATAGGAACTCCTACTCACCTACCTCCAACAGTGGCAATCTTCTTCAAGTCCCTGATAACAATAACAGCCTTTTCCTCACTTCTGATAGGAATGAAAGAGGAGGGAGATTGGGGAAGAATGCAAGAAGAGGTAGCTCCTCTATGTGTGACCTTAGTGCTTCTGCGCCAGCAGACATTTTCAGACAGAACCTGGCTGAGGGCAGACTAAGGAGTAGTTGCTCCTATGACCGTTTGCTATCCAGCTGTCCAAACACTCCAGCTCCTTGGTTGGGCCTTTCTCCTCGCACCTCTCCACAAAACTCCCCCTCATACTCCCCCTTGTCCTCAAGCCCATGCTCCTCGTCCCCTCCATTCTCTCCTGACATCCTTGCGTCCAACATGGTCGACGCATCTTCACCACCTATCCACACCCACATCCTCTTACCCGTCCACATCTCCTATCCCCTCCTGATCTCACCTGCCTCTACCCCTCAATGCTCCCCGTATGGCTCTCCCTTTGGATCCCAGACCCAGCTTTGTATCAGATCTATTGAGTGCTAGATCCTTGTCTAAAGTACACATGAGAGCAAACACACACACACACACTTCTATATTTGTGACTGAAGTGATGCATTCCCAAGCCCCAAATCCTAACTTTAACCATAACAACTTCATGCTGAACTTATCTTGTACCTTGTGGGGCATTTAGTACTGGTCTGTTCCACAGTAAGGTGTTGGTATACACACTTATTTTGTAGCTCCAAATTTAAATATACTTCACATATGATGAAATCTGAATTGGCTGTAATTAAGAAAAGGAAAATTTACAATCAAAATATTCCCAATCTGATGAATTGAGTACATTTTTATGTTTAAAACTCTGATACATCTACTGTCTCTCAGCCAAAAGCTGATGCTAACCTCAACCCTAAAAACTAGTCCAAACCTTCAAACAGCCCATTGTCCTCACTTTTCAGAAAATATCCCCACTCTCAAGGTCTAAAGGTCAAATTCGTCCGCTCAAAGATAGAAGTACAAAAGCTTACATACATACTGTACATACACACATACACACACACACACACACACACACACACACACACACACACACACACACATCGTGCACATTAAAAGTCTGTAAATATATCAACACTTATCTCTACAAAGTGTGTGTATTTAAATGTTAATAATTCTAAGTTTGTTTCAGAATTTACATAGCTGCATTTATTGCTTTATTGCTATACGGAAAATATTCTACTACTGGGACTGAGATCTAAAGGAGAGGTGTCAATGTTCAGGGACGGTCTCTAATATCACCCTGTAGCTTAGTTAACCACAGCCCACCCCCAACATCCCACACTGCCAGCCACCATGTCACCCTAATCACTCAGAGCCCCACAAAGCACCATGGCAGGAGCTCCTAGCTATATTGGTGTCGATGTCATCAGGAAAACCCACTCATCCCAACTTCTCTTTAGGTCAGTCAACCAGTGGATAAATCCCGGCTTGGTGATGGCTGCTGGTCAAGTGGTGGTGGGATCCTTCTAACAAACCTGAATCCTCAGAGGATGCCCTCTGTCCTCCATCTGCTCTCCTTCCTCATCTTTTTCTGTGTCCTTTCTTGGTGTAGATGCAGCAGTGGTCACAATTAACTTCCTCTAATGCTCTGTTTTGCCTCTTAGAATCTCTGCCATAGTAGAAAGAGCTTTTGGGTGGTAGGCTGGAAATAAACCCAAACACACAAAACGAAGATTTAAGCAACACTACCCAAAAGGTTTTTCTTCTTTAAAGGACTCTTCTATTAATAATCTCTCTTTCTCTTGAAGGTCAGTTGATGTTAATGTTAATCTTGATCGTGTACTCCCTCTACAGATTAATCTTGACTTCAATCACAGCAGTGCTTCTCCTGAATCACCGAAAGTTTATTTTCCATTGGTTCTTTGTAATTAACTGCTGTTTATGTAGAATTCATTCCTTCATCAGTAGTTGCCTTTTTATCGGAAGTGAACAACTTACATTTTGGAGGTCTTCTTCCTCCATAGATGTCATAGTTGCCTAGTTGTTGTTGATGCCCTAGTAGGCCTCTAACGAAAATATTGGGAATGACACACTATTGCACAGTTGTTCTGACCAAGTCATAATCTTGAATTATCCTACTAGATTATGAGCTCATGTGGAATAACAGAAAGCCTCTGAAGGGGATAGTTCTCATCACACACTCATGTTTACCTCGGGGTTATTGACACTATGCCCTGCTGAGCCATGACTCAAATCATCACCAACAGTTGAGTAGATTGTTTAGAGTGGAGAAGTGTGATTTAGAGGCTGGGAGCGTTCCTCAGAGCCTTCTCTTACTGCACAGCAGATAATCAGATAATCTGATTACACTAGAAAGAGGAGCTTTCAACCCTCCTCGCTCAGATATTTGTGCTTGTTGACACTGGCGTGCATGCGCACTCCAACAAGTCAACGGACACAGTCACTCAAACTCTTATGTATACTTACAATCAAACATGGTCAGGTCAAGGTAGTGCACTGCACACTCTACCTTTGCACATGGTGAAATCAGTGATTTTGGTTTGTGGTACCTGCTAAGGAAGATTAGAGATAATTCTGGACCTTTCCTCACAGCCATCAGACAATCTTAATTATGAACTGTATGTTGTACATGAAGACACACATATAGGCACAAGTAGATGTGAGAAACAGGAAACAAATTTACAGCCAAAAATATTGATTGGCATATTGGCATCCATTAAGGCATCCATGGCATTCCTTAAAGGGCTTCTGTGGAAGTCTGGATTTGCAACTGTGTAATTATCCAGAAGGAAGCCGTTAAGACAGGTAACGACAAGAAAAACAAGACTTCAACTGAATACCTCAGCAGCAGTTGAATCATGATTCATAAATGTAAAAGATGGCTGTACAGATAAAGGGAAACACAGAACACCTCACCCACACTTTCCCACAATGCTGGGTGAAAAGATTGTCTGCTGGCTCGTAGGGGTGCGTGGATAAGGCACCCACAGTGGGTTAGGTATGGTGAATGGTTGTGCTACGTGCTGGCCTGTGAGTGACGGTGGTTTGTGACCTGTCCCAGGTGGAGGAACGATCTAAGATGAACAGACAGAGCTCCCCAGCGCTGCAGCACAAAGTGTCCAACCGCATCTCCGACCCCTCCCTCCCTCCCCGCTCCGAGTCCTTCAGCAGTGGTGGCATGCAGCCTGCCCGCACCCCACCCATCCACCGCTCCATTGAACCACAGGTGTGTGTGTGTGTGTGTGTGTGTATGCGTGTGTGTGTGTGTGTGTATGGGTGTGTGGGTGCTGAAAAGGAGGCGTGTGAACGTTGACCAGTATATCCAAACAAATAATCACAAATCTCTTTGCTCCTTGTGCCATGAACTCTTAATGGTTCATGGTTTAAGGACTCCATATCAGTCAATCTCTCTCTCCTTCATTTCTCTATCTCCCTCCTTACTGTCTTTACTGTTTCTATGTGTATTTTTCTTCATCACAATCCATATACTGCCATTGTATTTACCTACAAATCTTTATTTTCACCTTTTCATAAATTTTGCTGCCTCTTACTTTCTTTTTCTACTCTGTTAATTTCTCCTCCATCACTTTGTACCTTATTTCTTTCATTCCTTCCCTCATTATCTCCCTCTACATTTGGATCTTTATTTGTTTATGTCTCCATCCTTTCCTTGTTCCCGCTGCCGACTGGCTCGCTCTATACTCTATACTTTTTCCATCTATCCTTCCTACCTCTGCTTCCTTCCTGCTTTTTTCTTTCCTCTAACCTATACACCATCAACCTCACCCCATCCACCTAACTTTCTCTCTCTCCCTCCTACAGATTGCCCACCTGGTCCCAGTGAAGACACACTCCAGCTCCATGTCTGGCTCTCAGTCTCTGCAGGACCAGTCGGGTTCAGCTCTGAGTGAGGGCATCAGTGTGGCCTCCCCCAGGCCCGAGATGCCCCGCCAGAACTCAGATCCCACTTCTGACACCCCCGGTCCCCCTCCACGTGTCACAGGCAGGGAGGAACGGGAACGGGACAGAGACAGGGATCGTGACAGGACCGCCTGGCTAAGAGAGGAGGACATCCCACCCAAGGTCAGAGAGACAGAAATTGTTATTTTAATTTGTTGTACTTTATATGAAATCTGGTATTATATTAGATTGGAGCAACGCTGTTTATATGTTGTAGTGAATTTTTCAATGATGCTTAGTCTCATTTGTTTGGTTACAAAGTGGTTGATGTATAACTCTGCACACAGTGATGTAACTGAACTGATGGGCATCATACAGTTTTGCAAGGTTTAATCAGCTTTTGCAAAACTTGAAAAGAGCCATTGGGTGTAAGCTGTTGACTTTGATACAAGGAAATAAAAACATGATGGGAAATGCCTCACTTGCAGTAAACTGGATTTATTTTAATTAAACTTTGTTGCCATTGTTAACCAGGACAGGTGTAACCCCACAAGCCGATCCACATTATTCACTTTTTTACCCCACATGTTTTAACCCACCACCACATGGATTTAATAATGATATCATAATCAAAAAACTGAAACTGAATTCCTTGCTAGGGGGTTAAAAGTCAAGCTGTACAAGCAATAATGGCCTTCTGTCTGTGTGTACTTTTGTGTGTCCAGGTCCCACAGAGGACCACTTCCATCTCCCCAGCTTTGGTCAGGAAGAACTCCCCTAATGGAGGAGTGGGTCCGGGCCCTCGCACAGGTTCTCAGTTCATACGGGCCAGGTAAAGCTCGTATTCTTAACACATTCTTTAAACTACAATCCTTGCATTTCTAATGTATATATAGTTTATATAATACCATTACAAAAAAGTGCTGTTGTATATATATTTTTCCATTTCAAAATTGTTATTCTTTTATATTACATAATCAAGTGTGTAGTTCTACAAATTCAAAGCTTTCCCAAAGACAGAGAATGCATATAGACACCATTCTTCCCCCAATTTGATTATGATCATATATATGATCATCCGTGCCCCCAACCCCCTCCACCCCCATGAGGGAAACAAAGACATATGCGATATAAAAAAATAAGTAAGCAAGATATTCACATGGGCCATTCTCAATTTACATTAAAACTTGTTACAATTCAAACTATTTATATTCATGTGCTTCTGAAGTTTAATTAGTGATTCATCTTCAATACTATTTAAGACTGGCTGTGAGGTATACAGGAATATACTTTTACAAAAACTGCTAGATGTTAAATCAGATTAAAATTCAACATTGTTGAGCAGAAGCTATTGATTGCAGAAATTCCATCATACTGCATCAACCCTGTTTTTACACAACAGTACTTGCCTTATATTATATAAAAGTACATAAAAACATGGCATTTTTAAAATGCACACATCTGTTTTATATAAATATGTTGTATAATTTTACAGAACTTAGAAATGAGTGAAAATGTTTACCACCTGTTTCAGTAACCCAGACCTGCGCCGCTCAGAACTCTCTCTGGATGCCATGCTGCAAAGAACTTCCTCAAACTCGTCATCCTCCTCCTCCCCTTCATCTCAGGGAGGCTCAGCCGAGAGGAGAGGTACAACAAGTCGCACGGAAACTCTAAAAGCCACAAAAACACACGCACGCGCACACTCAAATGAAAACTGACATGCGCACACACATACTGGCAAATACACAGACACGATTGCATGCAAAAAATTTAAAACTTGCTTTTGTATACATGCATATGCGGACGCAGAAACACACAAACCCACATACACTCACAGGGCTTCAGCGAGTTTCAGAGGCTATCAGTGGGACATTGTCAGTCGCAGTTCTGCTCTGATCAACCTGTCTGATGTGCCCTGTTACTCTCAGCCTCCGGAGAGATAGAAGAGAGGAAATGAGAGAGGGTGATAGAGAGAGGCGTACAGGGATGTGTCAAACAACAGGCCAGAGGGATATCTAAGATATGCATGGATCTCCCCTTGACAAACACATGGCAGAGAGAGAGAGAGAGGTTGAAGTATGGTAGGATCGGTTTTCCTTCATGTTTGTTGGATGTTATTACCATTTTGAAATAGGGTTGACAGTAGATATGGCTGAAATGTAAAACATGAGACAGATAGTACCAACATAGGGTAAGAAAATATGAAATGGCTTTAAAAATATTTAATGAATGGCAATGTGCTTTCACTCAGACAAGAAAAGTGTTTCATAATCTAATACACATTTAAGATAGAATTTTTAAAGTGAAGTCTGTCATTTTTTCAATCAACTTGTTTTTTCCCAGGGAGTTTAATGAAGCTTATTAGTACATGTAGGTCAAATGGTGTAATTCATTCCTTGTTCTGATTAGGTCAAACCAAGCAGGAAGGATCCCCTCCAGGAGCTAATCAGGAGGCAAAGCCCAAACAGGAGGAGGGCCGTGAATCCGCCAGACCCAGCAGACCTGCTGTGAGTAACACAACACAGACACACACAGTTACTTTCTATCACAGCATTCTCCTCTCTGGGAATCTTCTACAGCCCTCTTCTCCTCTTTTCTGCTGTTCATCTGGTTCTTTCTTTCTCTTTCTCTGCCTTGCTCTCTTTGTCCTTTCATTCTTCAGAGCTATAAGAAAGCCATAGATGAGGTTAGTGACACTGGAGTCCTCTTTCTTTTATCCCGGTTTTCCTTTGCCTTGATCTTCAGAGCCCCTCTTTCCCCTGGCATGGTGGAGTTAGTTGGTTTCACAAGAAGATGACATTTGTTTCTTTTAACTTTAAAATATCAGGGTGGAATGGTGATGGCAGTGCATGTGTGCTTTTTACACACATACCTGAGAGAGTGTATGTGGATGTGTGCATGTGGGTGCGTGCATGTGTGCGTGTGTGTGTGTGTGTGCGCGGATGTATAGTAAATTGAACTGCCAAGCACCTGAACAGTCTCTGAATCTCTTTTCCTGTTTCTCTATTGTCACGGTTACTGGTCAGGAGGAGCTGGTAAGCCCACCGTGTATGACGGTCCTCTCTCCACCCCCCCCCCCCCCCCCCCTGTCTGCATGATTTGGTCTGATCCATCGGCTAGATTGAATGGGGAGGGAAGGGAGGGGCGGAACCATGGGCCAGGGCATGGGGGTGATTGGTAGAGGCAGTGCAAATTGATTCTGCACTCCAGTACTCCAGAACATCAAGCCTGATTATCTGTCTTTCTCTCTTATGACCCATCTTCACAAAGTTAATATATTGCTCGTGAGTAGATAAAAGTGCTGAACTGTGATCATTTCTTATGTCACAAAATAAAAAATTTTGTGTGGCAAAGCAGAACTAATGGTCTCAGATAAGCGCTCTTGTTCCAGGACACCTCTGTTTACAGGCCCTGATGTTTGTGACAACAAATCAATTGTCTTCTATTCATGATGCTGATGGTTTGTCCTACTCTTTGCCCCTCTCTCCTCCCCTCATCATTGTGTGTGATTTGGTCTCTCACAGATGAACTAATTGACTTAGTCTCTTTCTCCTCTCCTCTTCTGTTCCTCTCTATAGGACCTAAGTGCACTGGCTAAGGAGCTCAGAGAATTGAGGGTAGAGGAGGGTAGCAGACCTCCAGTCAAGGTACAATGACATTTATAACAATGATGTGTGTGTGTGTGTGTGTGTGTGTGTCTGATCAGCAGAATAGTGTGAAACCAGCAGCAGGATATAAAGGCCTATACAAACAAAATAAGGACCCACGGTGAAAAGATTGCTTTATAGCACTACTAGCAGTCAAAAACTCTACAGAAAACCTAATTCCACTGTAAAAACATTAGACTTAAACAATTTTTAAAAAGTATTCATTTAAATAAAACACTAAGCCTAACCCTAATAAGTGATTTTTGTTCTGATAAAGGTGACAGATTATTCGTCCTCAAGTGAAGATACAGATAGCAGCGATGAAGATGGGGAGACAGTGGGGCATGATGGGACTGTTGCTGTTAGCGACATCCCCCGTATCATGTAAGTTGTCCCCTGTGTTTTTGTTTTTCCCTCTCTGAGTTTTTTCAAGCTGGACTTGTCAGTATTGATTTGTGTTAAGATATTCATGTCTCTGGAATATGCGCCATGCCAGCAGCTTGTCAGGACAGTTTTGGCATAATTGCTTTGTAAATAATCGGGTCTGTGTGTTTGTGTGTGTTGCAGGCCAGCAGTGCAGGGCAGCACTGAGTCGTATGGAGGGCTAACAGAGGACTCCCTGGGAGATGCCTATAATAGCTCCAAGGATGGCACTCTAGTGATGAGAGAGGTGATGAATGTGCACAGCAACGTCTTATGTTTTACTTCTAATGTCCTCGCTTTCCTGTAAAGATCATATATCCGCTTTCCTTCATTTCTCAACTTTTGTTTCTCTCTTTTTCTGTCTCTCAGGCAGATGAGAGGAGGAGAGGTGGTCACACGGAGAGCAATGGGTTCGGAAATCACAGTAACCATGGTAACCTCCCTGACCTGGTGCAGCAAAGCAACTCTCCCTCAGCCACACCCACCACAGCCCTGCAGGAACTGGGTGAAATGGCTGAGGTCAGACACGCAAATGTTTCTCTATTTCCATGGGGACAGCTAATTGACATAATGCATTCTTTAGCCCCTTACCCTAACCTTAACCATCACAACTACATGCCTAACCTTAACACCTACACTACCCCTTACGTACGTAAACCTAATTCTAACTCTAACTCTAACCCTAAAACCAAGTCTTAACCCTCAAACAGCCATTAAACTTGTGGGGTCCAGCATTTCAGTCTCCACAACGCTGTCAGTATAGTAGAATCCTACTTGTTGGATGCCATGAATATAGTAAAACAATCCCACACACACACACACACACACACACACAGACACACCCACACACACACACACTCTCATTCCTGGATATAGTGCTGGAAATAAAACATAAAACTAAATTAATACAATAAGTATTAAAATTATATTAAAATCTACAAATTAATTATTCAAAGTGATTCAGTGACCTGTCATATTTGATGTATCACACCTGGAAAATCTGTCAAAAAACAAAGTAAAAGACATGTTCTTGGTATAAATTCAGACAACTCTGGGTAGCGTGTTTATGTAGCCTGCTGCTAGGTAAAAACTCACTGTTTTCTGTCTTACAGTTTGGTGTGGGCGGGTCCAAAGCATCCTTCACCCCATTTGTTGATCCACGTGTCTATCAAACCTCCCCAAGTGAAGACGACGATGAGAACTCAGCGGCAGGTAAGCAAAGCATAAGAAAGTTAATTTTGCATCTGCAATTCCTGCGCGGCTGTCAGAAAAATCTAATAACTTATATCTTTCTGTCTGTTTCGGCATCTCTCATTTCTTCTATGGTATCCCAGCCATGTTTGCTAATGAGCTGCTGAGGCAAGAGCAGGCCAGACTAAACGAAGCCAGAAAGATCTCTGTGGTCAATGTCAACCCTACCAACATCAGACCCCACAGTGACACACCAGAGATCCGCAAATACAAGAAACGCTTCAACTCTGAGATCCTGTGTGCTGCGCTCTGGGGTAGGAAGAAACATCATTCATCTTCCTTATGAAACGAAAACATTTTTAACCATCTTGAATGCTTCCATCTGTCTTTCTCTGTATCTTACTGTATTTCTGACTCTTGTGTTTATGTGTGTGTTTAGGTGTGAACCTGTTGGTGGGGACGGAGAATGGTCTTATGCTGCTTGACCGAAGTGGACAAGGAAAAGTCTATAACCTGATCACGAGACGGCGCTTCCTACAGATGGATGTGCTGGAGGGGCTCAATGTGCTAGTCACCATATCTGGTAGGTCTAACACACACACATCCACTCTGGATGCACAAGGTAAAACACAAGAATAGATAGGAATAAATATTAAGTGTATCATCACATCTTCGGGGTTATTCCGTTCCTCTCAAAGTACAAATTTAAGTGATATAGGTCAGTCACAGTGGCCAAGTAATCTGCCATTGTGTGCTGTTTACAGTCGAGTAGGCTTCTAAAATATTTGGGTTTTATTAAGATATACATTTATTGCTTAATTTCAAGGAATTTGATCTAATTTATCTTTGTCCCTTTGCCCTTCCCCTTTCAGGGAAAAAGAACAAGTTGCGTGTCTACTACTTGTCCTGGCTGAGAAACAGAATATTACATAACGACCCGGAAGTAGAGAAGAAGCAGGGTTGGATTACCGTTGGGGAGCTGGAGGGCTGTGTGCATTACAAAGTTGGTAAGGACCTGTGTGTGTGTGTGTGTGTGTGTGTGTATAACACACACAAAAGAAAGTGTTTTTGTTTTGAATTGTTTAACTGCATTTTACTTTTGCTACCGGTTACTCAGATTGGGTGTCAATTAGATTGCTTCATGCTGTTAAGGGAAGTTGCTGTTCATTTTTTATTTATCTAGTATTGCATTCTGGTTATACTGACTCAAGGATGTTTTCTGGCTCTTTCCCTTTATGTTTTCTTCATATCAAATGCAAGAGATTTAGACCAGTAGGGGAGCAGATGACAGGTACTAAGGCTCCTTTTAACAGGAAGCGACAGGGTTTATGATGAACATGGTCCTAACTTTTAGAAACAAAAGATTTCCAACGTATCATCTCTTAATAAATACAATGTACTTCGGGTCAGGTTGTTAAAGTCATAGTTTGTCAGTTCATGTTCATGTGAATCCAGCGTTAGAATGAGTTCCACTTTGAAGTGAATCTGTGCTTGACATGTGTATGTGTCTGTCGTGTTTCAGTCAAATACGAAAGGATTAAGTTCCTGGTGATTGCACTGAAGAACTCTGTGGAAATCTATGCCTGGGCTCCCAAACCCTACCACAAGTTCATGGCCTTTAAGGTATGGAAAAACAAACATGCACATACTTCGTATGTATTATATAGACAACATTTTTTTCATCATCCAGCTTAAGATCAATCATTTTATGCTTTGTTTCCCTATGACTTTGTATTTCTCACCTCATGATTCCCTCACCATTACTCTACCATCACCCTCTATCTCTGAACATCTTGGCTATCCCTCCTTCTCTTCCTGCTTTTATTTTCCTTCTCCTGTCTGTTTCTATCTCCCTCTCTTTTGTAGTCATTCACCGAGTTGCAGCACCGCCCCCAGCTGGTTGACCTGACCGTGGAGGAAGGTCAGAGGTTAAAGGTCATCTATGGCTCCAGCGTGGGCTTCCATGTCATCGATGTGGACTCGGGCAACCCTTACGACATCTACATCCCCTCACATGTGAGTACAGGGCTTCTGCTAGTGTGTGTCTTTTGTTAATCTGCAGTAAACATGTTTTCATCCCTAATGAATTTGAATGAAGAACGACACAGGATGTAAGAAAAGGGATAAAAGTGTTTTTCAGTCCTTCTTGCACTGTTCCAACTGTATTACCTGCTGATCTCCACACTGTGCCAAGGTGACTCCGTGACTCATGACATTTAGCACAGGGTTCAAAATTCTGTTGCATAATATGTGCGTGTGAAGTTCCAGTCATCAGCAAAATTGGTGGCCTGCCCTCTCCATTTCAGGTTTTCTGGGCACTATGTGATGCTTATCTGTTCCCATTCTCACCTGCCTGCTAATGTCTGTCGGCGGAGACAGAGCAGGGAGAAGCTTGGGTGCCTTTCATGCAGCCGTGTGCATAAATTTGCTCATCAAAGTAAAGTTTTCGTGAACCAACAAATCACAGCCGGGATGGGGCGGAATTTTAAAAAAAAGGCTGACGGACTACAGCAAACTTTTGAAATGTTGAACTCGTTCTGCATGAATGATAATTGACGAGTTTGTACTTACCATTAAAGGAGACAAGTGATGCCTTTACATATTTTATGACTTATCTACAATGTTACAATGTTGGATGTTCATGTTAAACATGGCCAAAGCTTCAAATAATGAGGTTAAAGTATTTAAAAGAAATTACTGTGAGCCAAAACCTCAGATTTCCTCCTGTTCTGAACACTCTGTTTTGAACACCTTTTTTTACCAATGGTAAATGGTAATTTGCTCCGCACAGCAACGGCAAAGCTAGTCTGTCTGTACCACTCAGCGGCAACAACAGCCAGGTAACAGGCTTCAGCTCTTAGCCAATCAGAAGACAGTGGGCTTTGAGGGGGGTGGCTTGTTTCAGACAGAGGCTGAAATGAAGGCCTACATGAATGTACAGTATAAGATAGAAAAAGATTTTTTTGAACTTTGAATCATGCAAAGCTGCCATACAGGAGTACACAGAAATACAATTTTGGACTGGAAATGCCGTATAATAGGTCTCCTTTAACTAATTACAGACTAAGTACCATGTAGATAATATTTCTTACACAAAGATTTAATAAATGAAAACAACCCACAGAAATGAAACTGCTGACCAACTGGAATTAATATTACACTAGTGGTAAACTTAATAGTATACTATTATCTGAAATTATAATGAATACACTAACATTAGCCCTAGTACTGGCCAATACACACGCCAACATGTGAATGCGGAGTACCAGTAGGGCTGGGCAATGGGCTAATTATAATTATCGCATATAATTTTCCTTAGTAACAATATAACAAATGTTCCATAAACGTTTTATGATTTAATACATTTGAATCACAGATATAGAGAAATTAGACAAATAAGCACTTAATTTTTCTATCAGTATATGTATTTTGTTAAGGAAAGGGGACTGAAAAAAAGATTTTTCTTAATTTTACTCATGCATATTTGTTGAAAAAAGATTTTATCATAATTATTTTGAATGGACCCCAAGACCACCACCACCCAGGGTAGGGTCTTGACCCTACCCTCCATCTTTGTCATAACCTCTGAACACATTTCAGGCACAGAATAATTTCTTGCTTTAAGCCCTGCAATCATTGGCATGCAGTGACTTTTTCTTGACAAATTACCTCTTTGATTGATTTATTGTTGTGCAAGTAAAACATTGATGGGCGCTTTGCCTCTTTTATCAGATACTTTATTAGTTGTCTAAGTATGATTCATTCGGCTTGGAATATCTATTATAAGTACACAGAATGTAGCTCAAAATGTTTTTACAGGACAAGTTCCTGTTGCAACAAAGGTTATCCCAGGAGCATTATTGTCAAGAAGTCAGTGTATTCTTTACTACTCAGATCTTTTACTTAAGTAAAAGTAGCAATTCCACAATTTATATGTCAGATGAAAGTCATTTTTTTACAGGTATAAATGAGCAGAAAACATTCAAGTAAAGATGGTACCTCAGAATTGTACTTAAATGGAGTTGCTTTCCACCACTGATAATAAAATCTAGTCTCTCAATCACTCATAGAAGCTAGGTACACCATCAGTATCTGTCCATTTGCACGCTTGAAAGCAAATCAGTTCTGGCACTTGATTGCAAATTGGTTTGTTCTGTGGTGGCTTCACTAATCGCATGCAAAATAGTTCCGCCAAACTCTTGATTTAGTGGCATTAAATATAAACCACTGAATGCAGATGTGAAGACACACAATTGTAGTCTGTGTCCAGCTTGATAACACAGAGCAACTGAGCCCGTGCTTTGCAGTGAGTGCACCTCAAACCTTATCATTAAATAATATTGACCTCTTCAGGTGATTGTCTTTCACTATGTTTGCCTTTAACCCATGCTTCCTTTCTCTCTCCTTCCCTGCCAACTTCTCTTCCAGTGTGCCAAACAGACGAAGGTGACATCCTGCCATCCACCTTTTAGACTAGATGAATAGATCTTTAGTAAAACCCCATACATAGCCAATGCACAGAAGCACTACATGTTTCTCTGTGCAGTAATCTTCATTAGAGTAGAGATTAATGCACAATTTAGCTAGAAATCAGTTTGCATGAATAAATTCATCTTCACCTACAGGAGACATCACAAGGTTCACAGAAAACATGTCAGATGTTTATCACACACCTGATAATATTCAAAATACAGCCCTTGATGTACTCAGAGTGGTTTTGTTAGGTTAAAGTGTCGTATTCATATCTGATACAAAGAGTAATTTGCTTCCTTAATGTGGTCAGAGCAAGCAGAAGTGTGGCAAGTACATTTTGCAGAGTCCTTGTGTAAATACAGTTTCTCAAGGGTTAAGATGAGTTTTTTCATGACCGTATCACTCACTTGTGTTGCTGATATGATCCTTTGTTGTGCTCCTGAAGTGTAGTTTTGAGTAACACCTCAAGAGAGCCTGCTGGCACAAATAATGGGGTTGGTCTCTGGGCTACACTTTTGGTAAAGTGTAAGATTCAAGCTATGTCTTTGTGTGTTACTCTTCCTGACTATTCTGATGTTATTTCTGTTAAGGTCAGAGAAAAGTGCTATACTTTGACAATTCACTTATTATACAGAACAAGGCTTCTCAGACAACAAGCCAAAATCTGAACTTTTTGATGCTCCTGATAATTGGCACCCTTGTCAATGTCCACAGACTTGCTCTTCAGAGGATTACAGAATGCAGGCTGGTCCAAAAAATGCCAAAGAGCCAGCCAAATTTTGTTGCATTAAGCGGCCATGATGAAACCTCTGTAATATTTTAATCTATGTTGATCACGATTAAACATGATAGATTTAATTAAAATATCTAAAATGTTTGCATGTGTATCTGGATAGATCCAGAGCCAGGTGACGCCGCATGCCATCGTGGTGCTCCCTAAAACGGATGGAATGGAGATGCTGCTGTGTTACGAGGACGAGGGCGTCTATGTCAACACCTATGGTCGAATCACCAAGGACGTGGTGCTACAGTGGGGAGAGATGCCTACCTCTGTTGGTATGTCTCACCAACGTGTGCATTCGTATATGTGTTTAGTTGATTAAAATGGATTTTTATCAACACTGGAGTCATTAAAACATCATAGAGAAACACCCGGTTCAAAGGTGTAAATTAAAATTCACCAAACTTTAAGTTAAAAGCTTCAAATAACGGCAGTGAAATATGCTACTACCCATTTCACCGCTTGTGTGTGTTGCAATGCAGATCAAAAGTCTTGTGAGTTCTCTGAGAACTGATCTTATGGGGGTTCATTGAAGGTTTAATTGCATTCAAAAATCAGTTTACAACATCAGCCCTCATTGGAAGGCTTCCAGAGCTGCTTAGAAGAAACAAGATAGGAGGAAGGGGAGAAAGAGAGAAAGAGAGAGAGAGGGCACCCAAAAGCTCCAGAGTCCAATAAAGAAATTTGTACATGTATGCACTGAATGTATGAGCACTGTTTCAATGGAGAATACCTTTATAATATTTTACTGCCCTCTTATGGCAGCCAGGTGTATTACACATTTAAAGCTACCACAGATTAGGATACTGCCAGTGAATCTGGATTCTGCATTGTGGATTTGGATGCTCTGAGTTATGGAATGTTCAAATGATATTATGTGTATTTTTTGTTTATTTTTTTTACCATTTTCATTTATGCTTCTCTTGTGTTTCTCTTTTCCAGCCTATATCCATTCTAATCAGATTATGGGCTGGGGTGAGAAAGCCATAGAGATCCGCTCTGTGGAGACAGGTCATCTGGATGGAGTCTTTATGCACAAAAGAGCCCAGCGACTCAAATTCCTTTGTGAGCGGAATGACAAGGTAAAAAACAAAGTTGGATTGTGTGCTCTTTGATTCTCAGTTATTCTTATCTTATTATGTTTTGGAAATGTTTGGAATGTAACCACAAAATTTTTAAAAATATACTTACCTACCTGCTCTGGTCTTGGTCTGTTTTCAGGACTAATCTACTGTCTCCAGTAGAGTATAATCGCAAATTGCAATTTGAATAGATCTTACACAGGCCCATAGATCCAAAAAGTAAAATCTAAATCAGGTGAGAACCGAAAATGTTTATGTAATATTCTGTCTTTCTTTCTCTCCAGGTATTCTTCGCATCGGTGCGATCGGGAGGTAGCAGCCAAGTTTTCTTCATGACCCTCAACAGAAACTCTATGATGAACTGGTGATGGCTCCTCCCTCTTTCCACCCTGCCTCACTCTCCCATTGGCCAGCCCGGCCACCCACCTTGGCCCGCGGCAGATCTCACAAAATGAACCCAATTGCCCGAGAGGCCACAAGTAAACTCTTCTAACACTGGAGAGAATAAAAAAATAGAATAACAACAAAGAGCTGTTTTAAATAAAAAGACATTACCCTAGATTATGTCGGGTCATGCAGAAGCCATCTTTACTCAACAGACTGGCAAACTGGTGCCACTGACTTTCCAAATATTCTCTTCTTCCCACTTTCTCTGTCTGTGTGTGTAACTCTTCCCTTTTTGTCTGTCTCTTCTCTCCAAAAGGACCAGTGTACTGTAGAAATACACATTACACCTTCGGTCTCTCTTCTTCTTCTTCCCTTTAACCCCCCCTTCTTAATCCTCTGCTCCTTCCTGGTAGATCTAGTCATCACATTTTCAACCCTTTGACACCCATGTCCTCAATTTTCCTCACTTCCTATTTGCCATGTGTGGGCTCATTCCTAAACCTCAGAGGTGGGAAAAGACAGCCGAATAAGATTTAATATAAATTCAAATATATACTTCAGAATATGACAGGCAAGGCAGCTGAGGGATGATAAATCTACTTGGGATGTCGGCGGTGAAAGCAGACAACCTGATTGACTTTCTTTCTCCTCTGTCACTCCCCTCCTCCTCCTCCTCCTCCTCCTCCTCCTTCACCACTTACACCTCGCCATCTTTTCGTGCTCTGAGTAAACTGAATTGTGATTTAATGTTCGATCGCACATCGCTGATAGAGATGCGACGAGATGCTCTGCTGTCATAGGCGGGTTGTAATAGTATGCAAAGATGATGTCTGTGTCCCTTTAAAATGAAATCACAGGTCTTCCCTCCTTTTTTGCCTCTTTCCCTCCTTCTGTCACTTGCAATCATCATCACACTCAGCTCCCTGTTTTCACTCTTACGTATTTAAACTCTGAAGGTGCTGCATCAAATATACTGTAATATTAAAATGAACAATGAGAGCATCATTCTGTTCATTCTTTTATTTTTATTCTTTTCTTTTTCTGTGGCTGAGTCAGTCAGTCTTTGAAGCTTGATAAAATGTACAGCACATCTGTGTCTCTTAAATCAGGAGTGTATGTTAGTGGGTGTGGGAGCGTGTGTGTGTTTGACTTGATGTTGAAATGAGTCCCATTCAAATCAAGTTTGAATCAAAGTGGGATATTGAAATCAATGTCCATAAAAAAAGAGTCAAGTAATTCAGTCTCTGTGCGTGAACTTTTCCTTAATGCGATCGAAGCAACATTGAGTGTGTTTACATGCAGATTTATGATATTATCTTCTTAGTATGGAGTTCATGAGTTGGTGTATTTAAACACCAAGCATTTAAAAATAGTCTATATTAGTGGTTGATTTTTGGAGTATGTTTCTGTTTCCTTTAACACAGTAGTGTTTTGGCTATTCACGAATACAGCTATGTTGCTGTAGGGAATATGAATACGCATATAAACAACTTATCCTGAAGACAACCTCAACAGGAAATGACCTACTATCCCGAATACTGTGTGCATGAGAAAGCACTCATTGTTGAAAGCTATGGTGTCCTTTTGAGTCATGCTCCTCCCTGATTGGTTCTTCTGATTTTGGCTCCTACCTGTTTGTACAGTGCCTAGCATGATGTAAGCAAAACTAAAGTGGAGGCCAAGAGATTCACGTAATAATTAATAATTTTATTACTTTACACTGTTTTATTTTGTGTTATTATCTAACTTGAGCACATTGCTGATGTTATTTGTCTCTTCTAATGGAGATGTACATTAACAAATTTATGACTTGATTTATTCTTTGAAAGGAGTAACTGAATATGGTGTGAAACCTGCCATTTCTTTCTAATTATTTAGCTCAATAATTAATACATAATTTATAACACTATTGAAGATGGACTACTTCATGCATACTCATTCACATCAGAGAGCACTGTAATGCAGTTAAGTCTTTTTTTCAGGGGAATATTCTGCAGGTTTGGCAGTATGTTGGCCTATGGTTAACAAACGTGAGGTGACACAAAAAGACAGACTCATTCCCCAATTATGTAATGATCATTTGAATCAATTTTTTTATAGTTATATTTTCAAGCACTTTTTACACGTTCCTGTGCAGCTATAAGTTAGGTTCACTGATCTCTGTTAGGGGGAGAAGGCTTTACATTTTAGCAATAAAGAGCTGAACTGAAAAAAACACTGTCTTCCCTGTGTGTGCACGCATGCATCTGTGTTTATGATTAATGAGCAAGTGTGAATGGGGCGTTATTACTATGGTTGTCCATTGTGAAATTCACTCTTCCCATTGGAAAATACTGATGGTCATTACTCTGAGAACTCTCCTTTCAAAGACGAAACCACTGTATTCTTTATTCTGTTTTTTTTTCTTGTTTTCTTTATTTTGCTTTACTAATGTCCTGTTTGGGGATTTATTTGTTTTGTAAAAGAGAAGCTGTAAGAGAGAAATAAATGAAACTAGAGCATTGTGTTTCTGGAGTTGTGTGTGTGTGTGTGTGTGTGTGTGTGTGTGTGTGTGTGTGTGTGTGTGTGTGTGTGTGTTTTTGGTGGATGTGTTTGTGAGAGAGCTTGTCTCTGTTTTGCAAGTGTGCACATTTATATCAGCTTCGACCCTCAGACTTTGTCCGCCCAAGTATATCATTAACAGCGAGTGCGTGTGTGTGTGTGTGTGTGTGTTTGTGAGAGAGAGAGAGAATATTGTCCAAATGTCATTATTATTATTAAGAACACAGTTAAGAATCTGTGATATTAGTCGTTTTGTAAATTTGCATTCCTTTAATAATTGAGATATATATATATATATATATATATATCCAAGACTGTGTGGTCACCATGATTATCATTTTATTGCTTCCCTCCAAGAGAGCGAGCTTGTGTATACATGACAAATAATAATAATTAGTTTTTCATTGCATACAAGTTCTTTCAGTATTGTAGATTTATGTGTGTGTGTGTGTGTGTGTGTGTGTGTGTGATTGTGGGCGTGCACGCATGTGCTTGTCGATTAGTGAGTGGACACAGCGTGATAGACCATGCAGCTTTCATTGATCATTACCAACCTCCTGGCTGACACGCTGAACCCATCATGTCGGGGAAGGTAAGATAATTCTTGGCAAATGCATTCCTCACACGTATTCCATAAAATTGTTATATTCTCTTCATTGTAAATCATGTAAGCAATATTTGCAAAGAGGTGGCAGGGCATTATGTTGATGACATATGACGCTTTGGTCACTAAGTGGGTTACATTTACCACTCAGACCTGGAGAAAGGAAGAGCTTTTTATTCATCCATGTGTTCTGTGTTTTCATTGTCATTTTGCTTGTCTTGAACTGATTTCTGATGCTGTAACTTTTGTAACTTCTGTCTGTAAGCATTCTTATGATCGTCAGAAATAGTGCAAAAAGCAGTAATAAATCCATCAATGATGTGGATGAAGTGTTTTTTTTCCTGCATTTCTATATCCATTTATACATCAGACTGTGTACTATGCAACTACAACTGAGTGACTATTTACATTGTTATTGCTTGTGTGCATCTTCATGATAAATTGTGTGTTTGTGCATGCATTCATGTGTATGCCCTTATCTGAATGATTACCTTTCACTCCTGCAGCAGCTAACAGGTACCTTGGCTGTGGCTGTGTTCACAGCAGTTCTCGGGTCCCTGCAGTATGGCTACAGTCTTGGAGTCATCAATGCACCCCAGAAGGTAGGTTTTACTTTAACACAGGCTTTGCTCGCTTACTCGGACATCTAATTGCCTCAGCATACTGATATTTGCATGCAAATCAGCCAGTTTGAATAAGCAACAACAACAACTTTTCCCCAAAAATGCTATTGTGTCGCCATCTGAGAATTTGCAAGCTGTCTAAGATTCTGTGGTCTGCAAAAAAATAGCACATGGAATGCGTCTCTACCAAACACATGTCTTGTGGAGTGCCAGACAAGACAGAATATACCTTGTACCAACATCGCTCTGCTGCAAGCTGCTGGCAGAGTTGGCACAATGTCATTCCCTGCCAAAAGACGATATTATCCTCACCATGGATCACTCAGCCATCCTTGAAGTGTCACAGAAATAGAGTTAGATAGAGCGTGTAAGTGGCATCTTTCCAATTGACCTATGCTATGTATTTAATTTTAATTGTTTAAAAACGATATTGAATCCACTAAAATTTTATTGAAATGATTTGGTTCTTCTGTATAATTGGCATTTTCTCTAGTAAATTGTAATGTTGCATAATGAATGTCATAACTACCTTGCATATTTGTAAGAGATTTTAGCAGAATGGATCCATGTATGTATATGTGTGCGCCTATGTTGTGTCTGCCTTTTAGCCTGTCTCTCTGTGTGTGCAGCCGTGATTGTACCTGTTGATGATTCATGTGTCATAGGTCATTGAAAAGCATTATGGACGGTTCCTGGGGGTGTGGTCAGACAGGGCCAATGACCTGTCAGAAAACAGCACAGAAGAAGAAGAGTTCTCAGAAGCGGGACAACACCCTGCTGTGGTCATGTATTGGTCATTGTCTGTGGCAGTCTTCTCCATTGGTGGCATGTTATCGTCCTTCCTGGTGGGATTTGTGGGAGACCTGAAAGGGAGGTGAGAGAGGAAGAATAACATTATGAGGACACAATAGTGCAAGAATTATAGCTTTTTGTGGAAAAATAAACAGACTGGCAAACTGACAAAATAAAATTCTAATACCTAAGGAATATTATGGAATATGGAGAATGATAAGAGTAATGAGAGGAGAGATGGAGGCAAACATTAGCAGGAAAAAACTTCAACAGTTAAACCAAGATCAATATGGAATAATGCCATGGTACACATGCCCATATCCATCATCCATCTTTCTCTGGACCTCCCTCTGCCACGTTTCCATCTCCTGTTGTCTTGCAGGGTAAAGGGCATGTTAATGGTCAATGTTCTGGCTGTAGCTGCTGGACTGCTGATGGGTCTTTGCAGGATGTGGAAACCTCACATCATGGTGATCTCCGGCCGTGCTGTTATGGGCTTTTACTGTGGTACAGTTAAGCACAAGTTATAACCTTGAATTAATACTCACATAATTTAGTTTGAAATGTTTATAGATTTTAAACTATAGGATAGTAAAGCTGTTCCCATTATCATTAGGAATATTTCCCTTCATGAATATATTGAAATTATAATTATTATTTTTTTTAATAAGGGTTCCTATGTTGCACTTTGATATCCAACAGCAAATGCTCGTTTAGAGTCTGTTAACTCATGATGTGTGTGTTTCAGGACTGACATCTGGGCTAGTGCCTATGTACATTGGAGAAATTGCACCTAAGGCTTACAGAGGTGCTCTGGGAACAATACACCAGCTGGCTATTGTCACTGGCATCCTAATTAGTCAGGTGAGGTACACGCATACGCACACACGCACACATGCACAGCAGAATCTTCCGAATATCTGATCACATATTGAACATATAAATTGTATGTGTGTTATTTTGTGTGTGGATGTAGGTAATAGGCTTGGACTTTGTACTTGGTAATGATGAAATGTGGCCCCTGTTGCTTGGACTGTCTGGAGCTCCGGCAGTATTACAATCCTTTCTGCTGCCTCTGTGCCCTGAGAGCCCACGGTACCTTTACATTCGACTAGGCAAGGATCAAGAGGCTCAAAAAAGTAAGACTTATACACAGCAACTCTTGATGTCATGCTTCTTTCAAGCTAGCTGTTTCCTCCTGTTATGCTAAGCTAACTGGCTGCTGGCTGTAGCTTCATATCAACCGTGCATACATGAGGTTGGTATCAATCTTTTCATCTAACTCTCATGAACATGCATATTTCTATTCCTTTAACTACATGTAGCTGACAATGCTTGAAATTCGAAAGCAACGCTTTTACTTGTAATAGGCCATCTTTACATTATGGTACTGCTACTTTTACTTAGGTAAAGGATCTGAACACTTGCACATACGTTATTGCCACCCTTCACCCTGTGTTTTCTTGTAGGTCTGCTTCGTCTAAAGGGGGCATATGATCCAACTGCTGATCTGGAAGAGATGAGGAGAGAGAAAGAGGAGGCACAAAGGGAGTCCATGGTCTCTATTCTTTCTTTGGTAAGTCTACACCACCTTGCGATATATTATCATGACTACCTATATATTTCCTCTCCTGAATTTTACTTTAACATTCCCATCAACAATTTTAAAGCAAATGACTTTGGTTTTAGGGTTTTAACAATGATAATGAAATAGCTGATGAACTCCCAAGGCCACCAGAACACTCTGATTACATTATACCTTTTAATAGTCCTGACATTCCTCCTCAGGGTGGACAGAGTGTCACACTCTGCCTGTCTGCCATGCAGTGTTTTGCACTTTTGTGTTTAGTTAGCGTTATTTTGGTCTGTTGGGTTTTGGGGGTCTGTCTTGTCTTTCGTCTAGTGTTCGTTAACCCTTGTCATGTCTGTTACCCCAGTGATCCCTCTGCATGTCTGTCTCGGTTTTCCCCTGTTCTCTCTCTCTCTCTCTCTCTCTCTCTCTCTCTCCCTACCTGTGCCTCGTTAGCCTCATGTCTTTCACCTGTGTTGCTCCCGCCCTGCTCGTTAGTACCTGGTGTTTCTGTCTTGTCTTTGTCGGGTCATTGTTTATTGTCACCCAGTGTTGCAGTTTGTTCTCGTGTCTCCAGCCTTACTCACTGTGTCTCCCTGTTACCCTGCTCAGTTTTGGATTCTGGTTTTCACCCTTTTGGATTTCTGTTGGGCAGCCTTTGTTTTTGGACTCAGTCAATCAGCCATTCTGTTTGTAAGTGTGCTCGCCTTTTGTTATATTAAAACCCTTCACTGAACTGCACCTGCTAGCCTTCGCGTCCTGCGTTTGGGTCCTCCAACCTACTCAACCCTGCCTTCACCACAAAACCGTGACACAGACACCCATTCAACCTTCCAAATGAATCAGCAACCAAAGTACACTGATAATTTTGTGTTCTGTAATGACGCAGTGATAGTTAATGTGTAGTTAAATAAGTGATATAATAGTGATGTGAAAGTGTAGGAGTCTTTGCTCATCAGCCAAATTCAAGTTCAAACCGGTGCATCAACAGACAGGCCAGCTGAGGCAGGATCAGCACACCGTTGAAGTAAGAGCTCTTAATTATGAGCAGCAACTAAGGTTTCAAAATCGGAGGTAGTAGCGAGTAGCTCTGATGAAGTCATGCTTCATGGCAAACTTATTAAAAGCTCTTCCAATATCAATGAGCCCCAGATCTCAGCTTTCCCAAATCTGCCCTTGGTGAATTATTCAACTGAATGACTTGTTTAGTTTTAAAGATTGTTGAATAAATGGTAAATACACTCTCTGACACAATCTACTGTAAAAAGGCTGCGGATGAAGCCATCCCACCGTGGCTTGCTCCCATGTGAAACGAAAAGATTTCAGAAATCACAAAACGCATTCAAATATGTATTTCCTGCATAACAGGTTTAGAAAACCATTGCTCTGACAATATTTCACTGGTCTATATTCTCTCCAAGATCCGCTCCTCTGTGTACAGAAAGCAGCTGATTGTTGCCCTCATGATGCACCTCTCTCAGCAGTTGTCTGGCATCAATGCGGTGAGTGGCAAATTAATTTTACCTGTGCCTTCCTGTTAATCATTCAGTTTACTAAACTTAAACTAAAATGATAGTGATGTTGATGACATGAGAAGATGACATGAAATGGTTTCATTGTTAAAGCTAAAAAAAATGGTCAATCATTAAAAGAAAGCTGGAGGTTTTTGTGTATGAATATGTATAGCACAGAAGAGAAAAGCAAACTCTCAAACTTTTCCTTTATATTTAATTACGGAAAACCTGTACTTGTTTTGTCTTCAAGATCTTTTATTACTCTACGGATATCTTCAGTCGGGCTGGTATCAGTCAGCCAGTCTACGCCACTATAGGAGTCGGGGTCATCAACACAGTCTTTACTCTGGTGTCTGTGAGTAGCTACATGCACACCCATATGGATATTAAACCATGAACGTGCACTGGTATTATCCTATTTCTTCTACACACGAAACCTCTACAAACACACAGATAAACCGTGTGTTTATGTTCTAGGTTGTACTGGTGGACAAGGCTGGCAGGCGCACTCTGACTCTGGCTGGACTGGGAGGGATGTGCTGTTGTGCAATTGCCATGACAGTGGGCCTCAAATTCCAGGTTCGTTCAGTCAGGTGTCAGAGCTTTTGTTTGTTAGCAATTTGACCTGAACTTCTATCTACTTATGGGACTGCCCAGTTCTAATGGACCAGCCTTATTCTTTACTGCCTGTACTAACTCTGAGACAAATTTGTTGATCAGCTGCACTTTTTCTAACTTTTGTTCTCCAAGTGTTGTGTTGCTTTCACAATAACATGTGTGGCTAGTTTGAGAATGTTCATCACATATGTAATATAAATTGTCATTATAAGTCTGAAAGTTCAACAATAGTTTGAAACTTTTTTAACTCAAGGTCCACTTGCAAGCTTTTTCTGGAACTTTCAACTGCATCTTGCGGTCTTCATCAACATTTAGCTCCTTTGTCATGGGTATAGCTCGACTATCGTTGTGGTGGAGAACTCCAGTAAAAGATTATAAGTGGACCTTAAGTTGAGATTGGTATGCATGTGAAAAACTTATCAATAGAGGCAAAAGTATTTTTTTGTAACAATTTAATCTTTTACACAAATTAAAGGTAAAGAAACAAACAGGACAATGATTCCCAAAGAGAAAGAAAATCAGAAGGTTCAGTTCTGCAAAAAGTTAATATTTGTTGAAGTTTCTGATGCATACAAAACAAATGCATTTGAAGTAATCTGGAAACTACCCAGGCGGGAAACTGTTACACTTGACTGATGTACTCTTCCCTCCAGAGTGACAACTCGTGGATGAGCTATGTCAGCATGTCAGCTATCTTCCTCTTTGTGAGTTTCTTTGAGATTGGTCCTGGTCCCATTCCATGGTTCATAGTCGCTGAACTGTTCAGCCAGGGACCTCGGCCTGCAGCCATCGCTCTCGCTGGCTGCTGCAACTGGACCAGCAACTTCATTATAGGCTTAACCTTTCCATATATACAGGTAGGCAGAAAGGCCACACGTGTGTACTGTAAACTTGGGGTGGCATGTCTTTGCTTCATTATCACACACATTTAGATGACACTGTCTCTCCTGACTCCTGTTTTTTTTTTTTTTTTTTTTTTTATCTTTTTGTCCTTTTTCGTTTCAGGCTTGGCTGGATAGTTATGTGTTCATCGTGTTTGCTGTGCTGCTCCTTGGTTTCACCGTGTTTATTTATCTTCGGGTCCCTGAGACGAAGGGCAAAACTTTTGATGAGATTGCTGCGGTCTTCCAAAAGGGCCGAAAAAAGTTGGCACAGAGCCCCAAAGACGATACGGAGCTACAGCAGCTCAAAACATCCACAGATGCTTGAAACAACTGTGTGTTTGTGTAGTGTATTTGTATTCGTGTCAAAGGTTGTGTGTATCTTTCAGTATTTCAAATGTAAAGTGCTAATGTACATTTTAGTACTATAACTACATGGTGAATTAAGGACTCGTGTAAACATTTTTCAATGTAAATGTAGGTGCTACACAAAAACCAGAAGTGACTTACAATATCATGTTTCCGTTATATGGAGTGGTGTTTACATTTAATCAAAATATCAACTTTTATTGCAGTATTGTGACTTAATGGTTAAAGCAGCTACAATCAATATTGGACTACATGACTGTGATGATTTTTATGTGAAAGGGGTCGTATTGTATTCAACCTATAGAAAATTATGTTCCGACTCTGCAGTTCCCCTCGGCTCTACTAAGCTTTTGTAACCAGGTGATATGGTCAAACCATAAATATACAGGAGATTAAAGTTATAAAACCTCTATTTGCACAATTTTCTGCTGTAGCGAGAATGGTGCAGGTGTTGATTTTAGACAGCAGAGTGCATAGCGTTGCTGACGACTCGGTATTCGAGCGGGAAGACGCGGAGACAGTGAATGAACGGTGGCCAGATAATAGTAGGATCTAACTTTGTTGGCGGATCTGCATAAACTGCACTGTGAATGTAACGTGTCAAATAGTTCAGATGGGGATGAGATGGAGTGGATGATGTCCAGAGCTGTAAGATTGAAAAGGGACTTGAGAGGGAAAAGTTGGTCAGAACACAGCGAGTAATAAGAAACTGAGAGCTAGCCAGAGTGAGAAACAGAAGCCTGAGAATACGGAGAAAGTGCAAGGAAACGATTGGAAAGTTATAATTTAGTTCGATCAGGATGGTGGACACTATCACCCAATTAAACTTACCAAGGCGATTGAGAAGGAGATTGGCAAAATCAAATTTGCAAGATTTTTGAACAATAAATGAATACTGATACATGCAAGCAGCAAACAACAAGAAAAGATTCTTAGTATGTCCACACTTCAAGGGGAAAGGATGAAGGCCCACATCCCAGGAGCAACAGCAAAGGTTAGAGGAGTTATATCAGGAGTCCTTTTGAATATGTCAATGGAAGATGTTAAAAATGAGATTCAGGGAGGCAAAGCAGTTGAGGCTACTAGACTGAAAAGCAAACGAGATGGATCATTAAAAGACACACTATCTGTGGTTGTGCAATTTGAGAGAACCCTCCCTAAGTCAGTCCAAATGGGATACATAAATTACAGCGTGAGAGAATACATCCCTCCCCCTATCAGATGCTATAAATGTCAAAGGATGGGGCACACCGCTCAGCAGTGCAAAGGAAAGCTAAGGTGTGCTAGATGTGGGGGCCAGCATGAGTATGGGAAATGTGAAAAGGATGCAAAGATTAAATGTAACTGTGGAGGAGAGCATAGTGCTGCATTAGGTTGATGTGAAGTGCAAAGAGAAGCCAGAGAAGCCCAAAAGGTGAAGATATTGAACAAAGTATCATATGCAGAAGCTCTAAAGAAAGTAAGAGAAACAGGATCAAATAACAGAAACTCCAGTGGAATTGTCCAAAGAAACATAACACCAGTTAATCAGACACAAAACCAGATTCCAGCACACACACAGAATGGTTGCGAGCATAAATCTAAAGTTGACGATGATACGTTGATAGTGAAAAAAGTGAACTTTGTGGGTTTCATATGTCACACCATCAATGTTGCGTCCCAGTTGAAAAAGAAAAGTGACAGAATTAAGGCTATTGTAGAAGCAGCAGGAAAACTTCTTGATATGAAAGATATTAAAGCAGATCAAATACATGCATTGTTGACGGTAACTGAAAATGGAAATACACAAACTGAGGGTTAGGACGCTTATAATGGTTCTTCACATACTACAGTGGAACACAAGAAGTCTTATAGCTAATGGTCAATAATTCAAAAAGTACATTCATGAATTAGATGTTCCAGATGCAATATGTGTACAAGAAACTTGGTTACGAGACAGACTAGATTATGTGATACCAGGGTTTAGCTCTATAAGGTACGATAGACCTAACAACCAAACTGGTGGAGGGTGCATCACCTTTATCAAGGATGGGTTGGCCTACAGGGAATCCACAAGCTCAGAAGATTCAGAATGTATAATAGTTGAAATCTATAGCCCAAGGAAAGAGGGAAACATTAAATTGATTAATTTCTATAACCCATGCAAAAACTTAGATATCAATAAACTGAATGAAATGGCAGGGACTGTATACAGGAAAGAAATATGGTGTGGGGACTTCAATGCACACAACAGCTTATGGGGCAGCAATCACACAGATAATAATGGGGACATAATTGAAGAAAGATCACTGGTCTGCATTAATAATGGACAGGGAACATGAATGGATGTGAATAGGGGTAAAACATCATGTTTAGATATCGCACTGGCATCAGATAATTTGGTAAACGCATGTGAATGGTTTGTTATGAATGATTCTACCATAGGAAGTGACCATTTTCCAGTTCTCACTATTATTAACACAAATGTATGTTTCCAAGAAGGAAGTAAGATTAACAGATGGTGCTTTGAGAAAGCAGACTGGGAAAAATTTAGGTTATGTTGTACGAAGTCAGCAAACCTTGTGATGTTAGAAGGTGATATAGAGGAAGGCACAAAGCAAATTACAGAACACATTATAAATGCAGCACATTTAAGTATTCCAAAAAGAACAACAAAGGGCAGGAAGAAAGTGGTCCCCTGGTGGAATGAGGAGTGTAGCAGAGCTGTAAAAGAACGAAACAAAGCCTTTAAAACATTAAAGAAGAATTTATCACAAGAGAGTGTTTTGGATTTTCAAAATAAAAGGGCAGTGGCACGTAGGACAATTAAGTTAACCAAAAAGAAAAATTGGAGAGAGTTCTGTTCCACCATAGGTAGAGGTGTAGAGTTAGGGGATATATTTGTTTAAAAGAATGAGTGGGAAAAGGAAAGCGATTAAAATCCCAGCTGTGATAGATGGAGGAAAGACGGTGGGGTCAGACTAAGAAAAGAAATAGATGTTGGGTAGGGCTTTTGCGGCTGTGCATAGTGGTGATCACCTTATGGATATTCATAAGCAACAGAAAGACCTGGCACTCAGAGAAAATAAGGACGTGAAGCTGAAGAGGGAGGATGGTACAACAACTTTAGATGTGGATTTTACAATAACAGAACTCAATATACTGTAGCTCTGCTTGGCACGGGATATACAGCCTCAGGACAAGACCAGTTATGTTATGCCATGTTCCGACAGCTGCCAGTAGGGTCAATTAAGCTAGTGGTAAGACTGTTCAATAAAATATAGAAGGATGGAATAATACTGAGAAGTTGGAAATATATACTACCGTTTAGCAAACCTGGTAAAGACCCAACCAATCCTGGTAATTATAGACCCATAGCTCTGACATCTCACTTATGCAAATGGATGGAGAGGATAATAGTTTGTAGGTTATCACATGTAATGGAAGAGAGAGAACTACTGAGTAATATACAAAATGGATTTCGGAAAGTGTGGTCCACAACAGATGCTCTCGTTAGAGTAAGTAATGAGGTAGAAAAGGCACTGAAAATGAAAGAGCTGATGATAATAGTGTATTTTGACATTGAGAAGGCATATGATACTATGTGGAGGGAAGGACTACTTATTAAACTAAATAGAATGGGGTTTGAAGGAAGGATTTATAACTGGATACTAGACTTTTTAACAGATAGGAAAATTAGAGTAAAGGTTGGATCAGAAATTTCTACAGAGTTTAAGGTAAATAATGGCATTCCCAGGGGAGCGCAATTAGCCCTATATTATTCAACATTATGATTAATGATATATTTTCAGATTTAGATGGACATATCAAATCAGCATTATATGCAGATGATGGGGCCATATGGATGAGAGGAAGAAATGAGACACATGTGTTAGAGAACATTAGGAAAGCAATAGGGAAAGTAGAGAAGTGGTCATTCAAGTGGGGATGCAGAGTCTGTTGAGCCAAGTCCAAGTCAGACAAATCACCTGATGTGCAGATTCCTGTCCCAACTGTTTGTCAGAGACAGAAACGGAATCCTGAGTCAAGAGTCCAGCCCCCGATACCAGCTCCTCGCAAAAGTAAAAGAGCAAATGCAGGTGCTCACCCAAACCCACATCATGAGCCCAGATCAGTTTTAGAGTCAATGTCGCTGAGCCCTGCAATGGTATCTCATATCCTTGCTAGTCTGGGAACTGTATTTTTCAGAGAAGCTCTTAATGAAGTTAAGAACAGTTACTCTGTCATCGAGGACGTTGACAGCTAAGCAGAGGAGATATAACCAGGTGATATAGTCAAACCTTAAATATACAGGAGATTCAAGTTACAAAACCTCTATTGGCACAATTTTCTGCTATAGCGAGAATGCTGCAGGTGTTGATTTTAGAAAGCAGAGGGTATAGCGTTGCTGACTCAAACAGCCGCGTGCTTGCCGAGAGGTCAAGGGGCGCCGGGAAAATACAGGAAGTAAACTGCACTATTTTGCATGGACTGGCTGCTGCTGTTATCGGATAGCCAACGCTTGTGGAATAAACCCTACGTGTGGGCCACGAGAGCTCGTTATCCGTGAGTTAGAGGTGCCACTGCCATATTTTTGTAACCATGTTTATGCCGCTTTATGTGCCAACTTTGGGCTGTATTCCTGTTATATATGTAATAGTTGCCACGTGTATGCAGAAGTAGTATTGAGTTTCTATTTTTGACTCAAAGAAGACCATTTTACCTTCACTTTGTTTGTTTTTGTTTTTTTGTACATTCCCCAGTTACTCCAGTGGAGCGACTGCATTTTTGCATTTTGCATTTTCAGTTTACATAAAAGTACCAGCCCTGAAGGTGGGAAAACAATAAAAAGAAACCCTGCAAATCGTATTTGAAGTTGTGTGTGTAACTTGTCCCGGCTTCACTTTATAGTGTCTTTTAGTGTTGTGGAATTCACTTCACCACTCTCATGGCATAGTTTTCGAATAACCTAATTTACACTACCTGCCCAGCACCAAATGGCAGGCAGACAAAGTAAGCGAAAAGCTGGTGAACATAATGGAGGGAGCTTTAACCTGAATGCACACTAACTGATGGGGACTCATGTCAATTTTTGTCCCCACGGGCACAGAGGAACAAATGTGTGCATGTATGTATGAATTTGTTTTCACATTCATCTACTGAAGGGGGAAAGTTTCTCCGTGCTCACCTTAAACCTAAGTTTAAGGCATGTATGCACAAGTATTACTTTCTGACTAGGAAGCCAATTGTGGTTCTATACATAATTTACATAAGTGTAGAATAGTTATAGATTGTGTTTTTTCAATAAGGGAGAAACTTTTGACATAATTTGATTAATATTTAAGCTTTTTCTGAAAATAAATCACATTTATTTATTAATATCATAACTTTGATTGGATGTAAAATGTATTGCTTCAAATGCAACCAATAACCCTAATTAAAAATGTGTTGTTAACGTTAATGACTTTCACCCCTCACTGGGTTGGTGATGCTTACATTCATTTCAGCTCTAAGTGTTTGTATGTGTGCGTTAATGGGAATGTGGATCTTTCAGATCAATTTGAGAAGTATCTATGATCTCGTTCCACATTTCATTGTGCGTCATGTAATGTGGGGAAATGATCTTTGTCTTGACTCGGTCTCGCCCTCCCTCGGTGTTGGTCTCGAATTGGTCTCAGCCCCTAAAAGTCTTGGTCTTGTCTCAGTCTCGATAAACTGTGGTCTTGGTCTTGACTACAGCACTATTGGCAGGGGATCTTTAAGAAAACACAAACTTTTTTATGCTTTCATACTGGTCAATTCACTCAAAGACACAGCTTTTCACTGTTTTACACAGCCCCCAGCAATTCCCCAGGACTTATTTAACACTAATGACAAGACCTTTCCAGTAGCGCGTTTTTGCTCTGTGCTAAACAGTTGTGAGTCAAAACACACCCGGGAACACAGGAACCTTGCAGTACAGTTGTCCATCTCTCAAATATGGTACCATAAAAAATAAGCCTTCTTTCTACGTATTAGAGAAAGAAAATACGTTCCCTTTGCTCTGTTTAGATTAAAATGAAAGAAATAATTCAAAAACACATGATGAGTTTAGGCATATCTTATATCCCATCCCAAGTTTCAATCCTTCATTGCCAGATCAACATGGCTGGTTTGAATTTGTTTTAGAGAGCTCAGCTGACCTAAACAAAGAAGAAACAACAAAATATAAAAATAAATAGTAAAACCACGAAGCACACAATACATTCAGTATAAAACAGATTGATAATATCCAACCCATACAATAATCATAAAAGCATAAAACAATGGGTAACGTAAAATCCAACATATATAAACACTATAAATAAGCACGTAGGGAAATTACTGGCAACATCAAACGACCCACCAGATAAAGTGCTTCAAACCATCTGCCCTATTGCACAAATGATTTGCTCTCCCCCTCCTCTATTAAACTGTACCATATCATCACTAGATATACCAATTTGTTTCAGTTGTCTCTCAGCTGTCTCTCAGGTTCTTTCTTCACAATAGTAGTGGTGTTATACCCCATTTCAGGGTGGAGCAGATTGTCACTCCCAGGAATTTGTAGCTGTCCACTTGTTGAATTTCACTTGATGGCCAAGGGAAGGTGGTCCCACAGTCCACCAGGGATCTCTCAGGGATTCTCTCTCATCACTCCTGTAAGCTGTTTCAACGTTGTTGGAGATCAGATCCACTACTGTGGTGTCATCTGCGAATTTAAAGATCCTGAAAGACAGGGAGTAGGAAATACAGTCATTTTGTGTACAATGAGTACAGGAGTGGGGACAGTAAACACCCCTGTGGGGCCCAAGTGATAATGTTTAAGAACTTGCCTCCTCTCCAACAAAAACTGAAAGACTCACTGACACTGTGACTATTCAGCTCCCATTGTCTCACCTCACTGCAGCCTTCGACACCATCAACCACTCCACTGTTCTCTCCCGACTGGAAACTTACTCCAATATTATTGGCACTGCACTCTCCTGGCTCCACTCTTACCTCACCAACAGACAACAGTTCATCAACATCAATAACTCCACCTCCTCCACTGCTCCTTTGTCACATGGCATCCCCCAAGGTTCGGTGCTTGGTCCTCTCCTGTTCATCATTTACATCCTGCCACTCTGTAATATCATAGGTAGATATGGTCTCCACTTCCACTGCCACGCTGATGATGTCCAGATCTACATCTCCACCAAATCCATCACAACAGTTACCTCTGCAACTCTGACCAACTGCCTGACCGACATACAAACCTGAATGCAAACCAACTTCTTACAACTCAATTACAATAACCCTTCCTACCTCACAGACCTGCTCCACCACCACAATCCCTCCCGCAACCTCCACTCCTCTGACACTAACCTCCTTTCACCTCAAATAAGTACCAAGCACCGTACCTGGGGCGACAGAGCTTTCACCATTGCAGTCCCCTCCCTATGGAACTCCTTCCCCATACACATCCAAGACTGCAGCGACATGGACTCTTTCAAATCACTTATCAAAACCCACCTATTTAGACTAGCTTTTAACATCAAATAATGTTATATTGCTGCTGTTTGTTATTTTGTTATTTATATGGTCGCCCCTTCCTCTTGTGTATTTCCGCACGTTTTTATCTACTATTCATATATTTTATATTATGATATTTATGTTTTTAATCTGTTTTAAATGTACATAACTTCTGCTTTTACTGTAAAGTGTCTTTGAGTGTCCTGAAAAGCGCTATAGAAATAAAATGTATTATTATTATTATTGTGGAATAGTATTAAAAGCGGAACTGTAATCGACAAACAGAACGCTCACATTGTTGTCACAGGCCTCTAGGTGTTAAAGAATAGAGTACATGCACAATGACCTGCATGCATCATCAACAGACCTAACAAACTCATAAGGCTCAAGGACAACACTGGAGAGATGGTTACATACCAGACATTCAAAGATTTTAATGATAACAGATATCAAAGCAACAGGTCTGTAGTCATTCAGGCAGCTTAGGTTGGATTTCTTAGCCACAGGTATAATCACAGCAGACTTAAAACATGCTGGGACCCTCTGCTGTGCAATAGACCAGGTAAAAATAGGGGCAAGTTCATATGCACAACATTTCAGGGTAGGCTATACTAGATGACACCAGATCGGGGCCTGCAGCCTTCCTACTGTTTTGCCTGCACAGCAAGTTTCTTACCTCATGCTCCTGGATTTAAAACAGTGGAGTAGCAGGTTCAGATACACTGACAGAACAAGGCTGTGGGTCTGCTTTAGTGTCAAACCTGCAATAAAAGTTGTAAAGCTCATCAAGCAATTTAGGTTCAGTATCTGGGGTAACATTTTGTAATTAGTCATTCATTTAAAGCCCTGCCCCTTTATGTCCTTAAAATTTAACCTTGTTTTTAAATACTTTATGCTTTCTTTTACCGTCTTTTCAAATTTCTACTTAGAAGTCTTAAAGACATTTGTCACCTGATTTGAAAGGTTCATTTGTTTTAACAATATTTTAATATCTACTGAACCATGGCTTATTATCACTATAAAACATTACAGACTTGGATGGAACATTTGAAAGTGTGATCACATCAGCAAAAGAGTCCAGATCATCATGGTCTCTGCAATACAGTCCAGTCAGTTGTAAAAACAAAACAAAACAACAACAAAAACAGTCACTTAGCATATCTGTTGCGTGGGGGGACCATTGTCTCTGATGGTATTGTGGGAGTACTCATTACAGTGTGAAACGTCTGTGGAACACGAGAGCACGTGTTTTTCCTCCCTCTGGTAGCTGTAAAAATGTTTTGTCTATATGTCGGCAGTGCTGACGTGGTTTAAATCACCCAAACGTACAGAGTCTGGATTGTTGATTTCAATCTTCATAATATGGGCGAATTGCTGCTGAGAGGCAGCCGTGCCCCCCGGCTTCAGGAGGGATGTATACAGCAATCAGGATGAAAGATGCAAAATTCCCCGAGGACAGAATAAGGGACCCAAGTTGGGGGGAGCATGGCAACGGTGCATTATTAGATGACCATATGTTCTGTATTTTAAAATCTGAATTTGTAAAGTGACTGGCAACTATAACTGTTAAATAACGTTATGTTAAAGTATATAATAGCAGATAATTAAAACAGTGATGTAAAGTAGGCCTGCCTCAAAATGATAGCCTACGTAGAACTAACTAAGTTACCCTCCACCACTGAGTGTAACTGAAGGCCTATCTGCATATTTTACTATAACCATTTAGTCGAACAACTCACTTGCGGGGCTCCTATTTATTTTGGAGAGTTCTGTGCGGTGTGCGTACGTCCCAGGCAGACAGCTCTGCACTATGAGCCTCCCCCACCCCCTCTGCACCGCGTCACGCGAGCCAGTACCTGCCCTTTCTGCTCCTCCTGCGGTACAAAAGCTCTACGCATGCGAACTGACTTTCCCTCTTTGTTGTAAGCACGACAGAAGGTAAGCTAAACGTAAGGGGTTATAAGTAAAACGTTTTTACAAATGAGTTAACGTTAAGTAACGCCTGCCCTAATGTGTAACACTGGGAGGCAGTTGTCGTCTCGGTAGTTAAGTCAGCAACTTCTACGTAGTGAGGCGATGTTTGGTTAGCAATTGAAATAAGTTAGCACACTACTTTAGCTAACATTAGCTGCAGCCAATGTCAATGGGTGTGGGTCGTGTTTGAAAGCTAACGATGACAGAAAGCACACGAGGTTGGAACCTAAAGCTAGCTTGCTGGATTACGCTACAGTGGAAGATGCTCATCTGGCCCAGCTGCCACGTAACATAGCTAGTTAATGTTGTTTGCTAGCTTTTCAACCTGAGCTGCCTAGCCGTTCTAACGCTAACTTGGAGCATTTTTAAGATTACTTTATGAAGTCAGTGAACTAACGTTAACAATGCAGCTAACATATTTCACTCGTTAGGCACCCCCCCAGACAGTGTGCAAAAGCAAATTTGATTGCAGCAACATGGCGTAAATTATATGTAAATTCGACACATTAGCATCTAACGTTAGCGGTTAGCTTTTCAGATAGTTGGCTAGTGAGATGTGGTTGCACCACCTTGGATAATTGCGCACAAGTGGAGGGAGTTAATGATGAAATTAGTGCATACAAAGCTACCAATTTGCAGTATTAAAGCGAATCGGCTTTAGCTTGGAAGTATACATTTTAACGTAGAGCAATGTGCAGCAAAGCACTTTTAGTTGACATCTCCCACTCTGATCATTTTTTTTTGTTGTTGTTGTTGTTGGTTGTGTGTGTTTTGTGTCTTTATTTTTTAATTTTTTATAAAGCACTTGCGGCCTGGCCAGTCTTCTGACTTTCAGGAAAAGACTGAGCGTGACCACATAAGCACAACATCTCTGGCAATATAATTTTCCTCAATAACAATATAATTGTTCAATATATCATCAATAAATATTTCATTTGAATCACGAACAAATTGGCACTTAATTTTTCTATTAAAATGTTTATTTTGTTGAGGGAAAAGGGACTGAAAAGGTTTACAATCATATTTGTTGAATATTTTTTTGAATGTTCTATCTCAGATTTGTTCAGTGATTCACTGTTTGGCATCAAGTGTTTGCCACATTCTGACCATAAAGAAAAGTTTAACCACATAATTAACCATCTGGTTTCTTAAATTTTCACTCAGGAGCAAAAAACAGCCTTTAACAAATAATAATTTGACAGTTATCGAGATAATTACCGACTGATATGAAATGTTTTTATTGTGATAACATTTTTGGCCATATCGCCCAGCCATAGCTTAATCGGTGCTACAAAACTAAAATCGGATTATTCCTTTTTATATTTGCAGTAATGGTTCCTCATCCTTTTAAGTAATACTACTGTCAGTCACATCTTATGCTTGTTCTTCATTTTTCTCCTGTTTAACACAGAAGTAGCCCATCATGGCGGATGATGATTTCACCTCTGGGGACTCTGGGGCCTCCACAACATATCCCGTACAGTGCTCTGCACTGAGGAAGAATGGCTATGTCATGTTGAAAGGGCGTCCCTGTAAGATCGTTGACATGACTACCTCCAAGACTGGCAAGCATGGGCATGCCAAGGTAAAACTTCCTTGTGCATCCTTTTGGAATGCAGAGCTTAAGGCACTTTCGTAATTTAGCCTCAAACTGTTGTACATGTGACCCCCAGAGCTAATTTGGCTCAAGGTCGCATTTAATCAGTGATGGTGTTTTCCCAGGTTCACCTTACTGGACTTGACATCTTTACTCAGAAGAAGTTAGAAGATATCTGCCCATCTACCCATAACATGGATGTCCCAAATGTAACAAGGAAAGACTACCAGGTGAGATATCCCTGATTGATATTTTGGTGTAACCTAGGGAGCACCAAGGGAAACGCAGCATTTGCAATGTGTACTAGATGTTGTCAGTTGAAAGAAGTTGGTGTGGAAGCCAATAATTGTTTCTCGGTCCACTATATGGGGTTTGGCATTTGTTTAGACAACCAGTGCATCCATTTCATATAATGTTGTGGATTTTATACAACCCATCTCACAACACAAAGGTGTGACGTGAGAAAATGATTTCAATTGCTAAACGTTGAATGCGTCAGAACTGTGCTGTTGTCTCAGTAGTTGTGAAAGGATATACAGGTTTTGAACAGGTTTTGGCTTGGCCAACAAGCAGTCTCTTCTGCCCTGATGAGAGGGCTCTTTTGGCATAGCAATTCAACAGAAGAAAACAGTGGTTGATTAAATTATGGAAAGACGAGGCTTTGTTTTTAGGATGAGCTTTGCTCAACTGAACTTGTGCTTTAGCGTACACCTGCAGCAACCCACCATGGCCATGTTCCACAGTTTTTGATTTGGGTTTCATTTACTGTACTTTAAAATACTGTGTGTGTATAGCATGAGTACTGTATTGGCACGTGTGTACAGCAGCTAAGAACAAAAGGGTTTTTGTCGTCCCCCCCCCCCCATCTGCACGCAGCCGTCTACTGATAAACTCTCCACAAGATGGAGGGACACACAACGCTTGTCGACACATTTAAAGACCTGGCGTGTAAAAAGATAAGCAGGGTTCATTCAGTGTTTCCCACACATACGCTTTACTTGGGCGGGCCACCCAGGTTAGGGAACCCACTGGAGCATTTATCAGAGAAACACAGTGATTACGTTACATGATCTACTGATGGAGAAAGTCGCCAATGTGGACATACAGGGAGAGGGAGACGGTAAAGCACCTTTTCCACTGCAAGGTGCAACCATATACAGTATATTACTGGATGAAGCCACCATGCTGATTTGAATGGAGAACAGTAAAGTCAGTTTTGGACTAATAAAATAATACTACAGGGCTGCTTCCTGTTGACAGCAGTGTCTACTGTGCATGATTGCGCTACATAACTGTGGTTTAATGATGTAGAACAGCAGCAGAAACACCACAATTCTGGTAGCTGCATAGCTGCGCCAACAAAGTCTCATGGCTCAGTGTGTTTGACTCAGATCGTCACTGATTAATCGGCGCATCTACGAGGCTCACCTGTCAAACCACAACGCAGCGTCCCTGATCGCCGAAATTTTTTTCTTTTTTTTTTTTTTAAGATTGAGTTTATATAATCTAAGCAATACGGTTACATCTCTTGTGTGCGACGGGGTGTCACGGGGTTTTGACGTAATTATTGGGTCTACATGGATCCCGCCGTGCAGGTTTTGGTCGGATCACTGTCCGATCTCTGGCTTTTGTTTTTTTTCTTAAATGCTTCAGGTAGCATTGGCACGTGTGTACAGCAGCAAAGAACAAAAGTTATGATCCTATCTATCCTCATTGTGCACTGTAGCACAATACTAATGATCTCTCTGAAAAGGCAAATCGCAGAGGCACTTCAGTTCAGGTTCTGGTTCAGTTCTTTATTGATACTGTGTTAATTTTCATTACTAAATTATTTTTTTACAAAATATATTTAAATTTCAGAAGATTGGCATTGAATATTTTAAATAACTATTTCTAGAGTAGCAACAGTAATGTTTACACCAGCAAATTCACTATATAATCTCTATCTCTCTGGAAACAAATGTAAAGTGCATAACATTTCTGACATCAGGAGTTTAGAAAGAATTCAGACACCAGATCAGTCCTTCTACCTGTACTCTGTCCTCGTTCTGCTGATGTGATTCACTGCCTGCAGGTATTGCTGGTAGAGCGAGGAGGGACTGGTTTGCCTCAGTCAGCAGTTGTTTATAAGAATTTGCCACGCTAAGACTAAGCTACAGTTGCACTACACACAGCTAAGCTACAGTTGCGCTACACACAGCTTTCATTTTAGCTTGTTTGAAATAATTCGCTGTTAGCTGAGGTAGTGCTCAATGCTTCTGTAAAACACAGCAGCGGTGTACGAGACTGCTACCAGAGCACATACCTTTTTTTTTTTCTTTGAGATGTTTATGCTTGTTGAAAAGGTGTATTGTTAAAATATTGGCTTTTTAAATTAAAGGTGGTTTTGCACTTTACTACGAAGCATGTTTAGAGGTTATCGAGGTAACTTCAGCTTTAACCCTGGATTCTCAGTCCTACGATGAATGAAGTCATGTATTTGAGATCAGAGACAAGGCTCCTAGACAACCAGTGTTTCCCATAGGATTTTAAGAGACTATGGTGGGTGGGCCTTGGACACTCTCGGGAGGGGGGTCTGTAGCATTGCCCCCCCCCCACCCCACCAAGCCTCTAAAGTGCGACCATTTTGCTCGCATATGCCCCAAAAAAAATCTGTGTGCGAACTGGAAAAATGATTTAAGAGCACAATGTGGGAGTAACTACCGTAATCCCGCCATCCTGCCCGCTGCACCGCTAATCGTTCAATACACCCTGCCCCAAATAGCATGAAGGATGCGACGCAAAGCTGGTGTCAGTCAAATGACAGTTGTCGAAACTCTGGCAGGAAAAATGCCAGCTTGTCACCGGCGCACCGGGATCAAAGTTTATTATAGTTTTGGATTTTTCATTTTTTTTTTTTTTCGTTTTGACTGTTTCAGTTTACTTTTTAACGTGGGTTTGCTAGTTAAACTTTTATTTTTAATATGGTTAGGTTTAGTGTTGGTGGTAGTTTTAGTCTTTGTCGCTGCACAATGCCAAGTCCAGTTTAGTTCAGTCAGTTAAAATACAAGTACAATCATTATAAATGACCAGCAGACACCTTAACCCAGTGCCAGTGGAGCTCACTATCAATGTACTCGATAAGTTCATCACACATGCAGAATGAGCCCTAAGCAAATCCATCAGAACAAAACAAGGAAAATCACTCAAAATGTAGGCTTTATTTAGGTCCTATAAATAAATGAAAACTAAGGATATTTACTCTTTCATTTTAGTTAGTTTTACAAACCTACAATACAGTTTTAGTTATCTTTTTTTGTAAGGCCTTGTTTTTATTTCAGTTAACAACAATGTTTTTTTACATCTAGTTTTTGTTATTTCGTTCGTCTTTGTTAACAATAATAACCTTGACCGGGATAGATCCCGGTGGGCTGCTTCAGAAGCTTGTTACAAAAACAAAGACGGATGCAGTGTCAGCAGCTGGAGCGGGGTTAGTGAACCCTATGAACACGCTTATAGCTGGGTTGACTCAACCCTGGATTGACTTCCCGTTCCCAGTTGTTGGGCTTAGTAAAGCCAGGTAACGATAAAGAACCTGGGTATGTTGAATGTTTCTACTGCAGCCTCTGACAGTCTTGCCAACTCCTTTAGTAAGGAAAGTAGCTATTGGCTTTCCTAAAAGTCACTAAATAGCATTGTTACCTAATTTGCCTAATTGACCATGTGCATGTAATTGATAGACACTGTAGTAGAGGAATAATGTTGTGGGAGAGACCGTTATTAAACACCCTAACAATGTTAAGAACTACAGTCATGTAGTTCCAACATGGTGGTTGCAGGACCCGTTGCTCTGAACGTTTAGAACTACAACCAGTGCTTGAAGCGGAGGGGAAAAAATAGGTGCTAGTACTCTTCCCCCAAAAATAATGTGGCAGGTGACGATTCAAAATAAAATATAATGCAGTAATCAGCTTTTGGACAAGGCATTTGTTCTATATTTCAGTTGCATTGCAATGTTTTCTTATTATGCATTGTTTCATTAACATTTTCTCGTTGCAAGCTGGTTTTCTGAACATTTTTAACAAGCTTTCAAAAACATTCTGACCTTAGCGCTCCTTATTAGCTAGGCTCCTTACATGCTTGCTAATGTTTAAAAAAAAAAAAAATTTTTTTTTAAGCTGGGTCTCTGACACTGACAGCGTTGTGTTGGAAAAATTTGTGCAGCTGTGTTCATGGTTCATGAGGGAGAGAGGGACAGGTGAGCGCGAGAGGATGTGCTGCATGAAGGTGCTCTGCAATCAAATACGATTTTAAAGAGGCCTAGGGGGGGGTCAAGATGTGGTGGTCAGCTTTGATATTGTGGCGGGCCGCCACAAATAAATGAACATATGGGGAAACAATGCTGTCAATATTTTTAAATGACCGCTCCATCCAGGCTGTGATTGGTCGGTACACGAAAAGTCACACTGACGATTTTCAGCACACGGCTGCTTGAAAGGTACCAAGCTTCTTTTCTCTCTGCTGTCTATGGTGACAGAGATGAGCAGGCAGGCGAGTACGGGAACAGGTGACCGTCACATAGCATCCAGAGAATCTGATACGCAGAGGAGAGTACCAGCAGTTTGTGAGAAGTGCCAAGCAAGAAAAAGTCCGGGTATGCCAAAGAGTAAAATGTTGAGGTGCCTGTACTGCGTACTGGTGTGTACCGGCCCACTTCAAGCACTGACTACAACCATGTAGTTCTAAATGCATTTTTGCATTCGCAGTTCATTTGCAGTCTCTGGATGCGGAGGGGTGAACATGTCTGGCTCTGACTGCAGCTAGGAGGGACTAGGCTGCCTGTGAGTGCTTTGGGATAGGGGAGGGGTGGGCAGCAGCACCTGCTGCACGTTGAAGAGTAAAAGAAAGATGTGTGCTTTAAAGTTAAGTCTTATTTGTCTAGCAACTTGTCGTTGTTTTACCAAGTCGCTTGAGGTCTGGAAAGTCGCTAAATATAGCAACAAAGTTGGGTAGTTGGCAACACTGCTATGATCTGCAGTTCGCTGACTTTGATCTGTGTGTATGTGGAGGACCTCTACCCCGAAGAAGAGAGAGGAGCGGATGCAGTGTTATGTTTACACCAAAACCTTAAAGAACCCGTAATGTCAGAGCTCAAAACTACGGTCCTTAATTCATCCCTTGGGCCTGTCTAATATCTGGTTGGTAACGATCCCTATTTAACATGTGAATCAGCTGTTGCTGTTCTTCTCCCCTGCTTTTTTCCCAATAAAGATTAGGTTGACTGACACTGGTTATGTTTTGGTTTTTAAATCCACAATCCTCATGTGTTTAACATCTTACTGTTTTTGCTCTTTGCCCGCCTTTTGTTCATTTTTAGGTTATAGGTGTCTCAGATGGCTTCATGTCCCTGTTGGATGACACTGGAGTAACCAGAGAGGACCTTAAAGTGCCAGATGGTGACATGGGCAAAGAAATTGAGAAGAAGTTTAATAATGGAGATGAGTTTTTGGTGAGTTTCTGTGACCCTGGGTGGAAAAATAAATAAATAAATCTCTTAAAGGTGGTAGCTGAACTAGAAGAATTGTAAAAACAGTTTCTGACAGTGCACAAGCATCAAAGGGTTATATAATCACTTTCTTTCTTCATGGTTTTGTGCTTGCGGTGAATTGAGGTGGACAGCTGGATGCATTTACTGTACCACTGTTGGATTGATTTTATTATTTATCTTCTATGTTTTTTTGGGGTAAAACAAGTGATTAGACAACTGTTCCCAGATCTTATTTTTCCCTTTCCTTTTAGGTCTCTGTGATGAAAGCTTTGGATGAAGAGCATGTAATTGGCACCAAGGTCTTGACTTAATATGTCAAGGACAATGCTGGCTTTGAAGCCTCACCAAAGCTACTGGCCTTCACCCCACATCTCTACCAGTTTCCCCACTGGTCAACTAAAACCAGGACCTGGACTGGGTCAGCTTCTTCAACCGTACCTTGGGCTCAGGGCTGACTGGCATTCTCTTCAATCAATGAAGTTATCCACCCTTAGCCATCACAGCTTAACTTTGCAATGGGTACTGATATCATTCCAGGAATTCCAAACAATATTCCAGCAGTTTAGAACATTCTAGCATGTGATGTTTTTTTTTTTTTTTTTCTGTATGCATTACTTTTTAAATCACCCCTATTGTTGTCCACCCCCCCCAATGAAATATGGAGCTTTGAGTTGACTGTAAACATGGTTTGTTTTTTTTTGTTTTTTTAAGGTTTGTTTGGTCAGTTGAGATGCTGCACCTTACCTTCATCTTAAATTCTTCCCTAAAATGATTTTATCAGCACTGACTTGACACCTAAAGCAAGCTCAGCTCTACTTGGTACACCGTTCAGAAAACCTGAAAATATATACATAACTTCATTGATGGCTGGAATATGCCTTTCTGCCTTTGACAAAACCTATATGCATTCACATGCACGCTTATAATTGACAATTGACTTGTATAAACATGCCATAGCAGCTATGAATTTATGTAAACAGCAACATTTTATTCACTCTGCATTTCAGCTGCAGCTCTTGAGACAAAATTTCTACTGCATCTGGCTCGGTCTCAATAAGATCAGCCTTTTGTAGCAGGGAGCTCTGCTGTCTCAGCTGTTCTGAAGCCGAAACAGGCCTGGACATGGGTAGCCGGGTGGGGCTATTTTCTCTATGCTATGAAACTTTTTCCTTTCACCTGAGGCCTTTTTATGAGCTGACAAATGTATAGAAAATTATTTTGAAACACAACACTGAAAACCTTACTATTATAGTCTTAAAACAATTGTATCTTAAACAACAGCAAATGTTGCAGCATCACAATGAAAACACAAAGATAATTACAACTTTATGGTGCGCTATAGTGGAAACAAACTATTTTTCATCTTATAAGATGTAGCCAAATCTAGGTGGTAGTTCCGCTATGGGTTATCAAAGTTTTATGTTGGGAGACATTGATGCCCAAGAACAGAAAAGATGTTATTGAGCTATATTTTGGGTTGGGGGAAGTTAGTTGTAGGGGGGGAATTGGGGGTTGGTAGGTATGCAGTTTAGATGGATTTTTAAGGGTTTTGTGCAGTACACTCAAGACGGATTGTAGCTCGCACGGATTTTTACAAAATTATTTTGAATGGTTGTTACTCTACGTTTACATCCATACAAAAAACTGTAGGGTAACTGCAGGAAATCAGAATGTGTTTACATGCACTTCATTAATGTGGTTGCTATAGAATCTGCATTTACATGCAGTAGTCAGTTTTCTCCCCTACCTCCTACCATAAAATTTAAACTATTATACTAAGTGTATTAGCAATATATTTGAAGCGCTGCAGACAGTTTTATTTTATTTTTTTTGCTCCTCGCATTTTCTGGTCTCAGCATTTGGCTTGCAGTGAGGAGGACAGACTAGTTGAAGAAGCCAGTCTTTCAAGAGTGCATGTGTTAAGACATTTACAAATAATCTGCTGTTCAGCTGTCGAAATGACTTATTTTGACTAGTTTGTTTAGTCTAACTGGATTTCGGCTTCAAGGGTGCACTATTTTGAGTTATATCTTCCCACCTTCTGCATCGTTGTCACAGCAATACTTTTCCTATTTCGAGTTTTGTTATGAACTTGTACTCTTGTTTAAAAACTTAGAAGATCAATCCCTTACACTGGGTAATGGGAATTGTTTACATGACTTTTATGAAGTTAGATTACTGCCAGAAGTTGACAATAATCAGAATACTGAACTGCGTGTAACACACTGATTGTAATATTGATTTATAGAAGGTATTCTGTCCAGCTTTCAAGTTGTCCTTTGTACAACGGCAGCCGGTCTGTTATTTTTGTTCTAACTTCAGTCCACCAAAAGTATTTTTACTTAAGTCAAGACACCAAAGTAATCCACTGAATGTCTGAATATTTTCAGTCATCCAGGTCATAGTTATTCAAGGAAGGTTAAATCAAGGGTGACTGGACTTTGGTGAATCCTTATCCAAGAGGCTGTCTTAAAGTATCTTCAACCAAGTCCAGTTGCCATTGTTGTACACTTCCTTGGATAATCCACTGAATGTTTTCTATTGTGTATTAAGTTCTACATGAATTTTGCTTCATCATTCTGTTCTTGTTGAGTATGAGCTGTTTCCCTGAATAATATGTTAGGAGCTGTGGCATTACAACAGTGGCTTTCTTTGCCATCTAGATTTTTACGTAATGGTACATTACGTATCAGCACAACCGCACTCTGGATTGCAAGGACAAAAGGTGGAAGACCCTTGACTATACTCAATGTACAAATGGTGGTATATTTCATATTGAGTATTCATTTCTTTAAGGAAGGGGGGGAAAAGCATTTCACTTGCGGATGAACTCACTAAGGCAGCAGTATAGTAGAAACTTGCACTGCATTGACCTTGCGCTGTTGGACTGACGTTCTATGGCAAATGGGGGCACATGCAAGACAACTTAAAGTCCCTGCTTGCCTTCATAAGCACATAAATCTTCTCACAACTTCAGCCTGCAGTGCCTCAGCCTGATTTTTGTTTTTAAACTTTTTCGGGGATTGAGTCCAAGAGCATGTGTAAAACCTCTCATATGCAAATTGCAGGACATTGTTTTGGGCTAGTAAACAAAGCTATACAAAAGTTAAAGTAGTGTGACCAGTGAGCGCACACACACACACACACACGCTGTGGCATTGTGCTGTCTTTTTACTTTTGGTTGCAAGCATGCCATTGTGACTGTGAAAACCAGATTTTGTTTCTAGTATACTGCTTCCTTAAATACAGTACATGGCTAACTATACAAAAAATGTCTTAACTCCTAATATCCAATCAGTAGTGCAGATTAATAGTTATGATACAAGGCTTCTATCCTAAGCTATTTCCCTTTCATCTCCACAGTCCTAACAGAAGATGACAGTCTTCCTTAAGCCATATTTGTGCCCTGTTACATGTGTCCAAAACCAAGGTTGGACACAGGAAAATTGACTCACCATCAGTTCCATCCAATTATTAAGCTGCTCTGGCCTCTGATATGTAGCACTTATTACTACCACACATATAGTCAAGAATCCTTTAGCTGTCATAATGGGGTCTCCCACATGGGGACTGGTAAAAAGACTGACCTCTGAGAAAATGTTTACACTGTAAGGGAGATGGCCCTGTCCTTGTAGCTTTCACACGCTCATCTAAGATCAGCCAGTGAGGGCTACAACAGCAAAATGACTGAGGTCAGTGTTATGAGGGCATATTTTCTCAGGGCTCCAAACAGAGTGTTAGGAGATGTTAGTTTAACAGTGTCAGCCGTGAGAATAAATGATCTTAGAATGTTTTTTGTTATTTTGATTTCTCTCAAGTCTATACCGCTCTGGAGATGGGGATATATATATATATATATATATATATATATATATATATATATATATATATATATATATATATATATATATATAACATCTTCAATTTTCTTCCCCCCCCATAGTCTTCTCTGGCACCTGTCATCAAAGACATTGTCTGCTTCACAATTTATCTCTTTCTGTCTTAAATCTGCTGCTTCATTTTTCTTGCAAGAAACATTTGTATGTTTAGACCACAGGTATAGTGTAATGTGTTAGGCGAATAGGCGAGTTCCTCAGTCTTGTATACTACATGTTCCTGTTGTATGCTGGGGAACAGGTTTGGGGGTATATCCAGCTTGGCGCATGTCTTTTTCTTCCTTTAATCTCTGATCAAGGGGAGATCTGACCTTGAGCCTCTTCTGGAGCATAAAGATACTTGGGCTTCTCTATTCTAACTAATGTATGGCTGCTGTCTTTAAAAATTACAACTGTCTGTTTTTATTGTGTAGGCAAAATAAAGTTCATTCAGATGTTACTAGCTACAAGAAATTTATCAGCTGTTTTGTCTTATTTTATGTAGATGAAATGGAGCTAGAGGAAAGTCAGGGAATTGCCAGTGTCATCTGGCTTCATCCTCTGGGGACCATACATTTTCAAGACAATCCATCCTATGTCATATATCATATACAATATTTTAGTGTAAACTGCAGAGGTTGTTAAAGAGGATTGTAAGAACCACCAACAGAGTAATCTTAGTAATTTACCTTTCCAATATTTTGTTTTGCACAGCATACCTTGTGTATTTAATTATAACCAATAAAATGTCTGTAAACATTCTGTAAAACCACCTTTGCCCTGATGTACCAGTCCTCAGTGAGAGACTATTGAATAGAAGTATCTCACTATGGTTCATATTCAGAAAACCTCTATTTAATATTACTTGGAAACATTGTGGATTGATGTGTCAAATACTGAAAGAATCAAATGAAAATATTTTGTCAGTGATTACAAGATGCATTGATGTTAAACTGGGGGTTTACCTCAACTGCTCAGTAGGTGGCAGTGAAGCATCACTTTTCATAACTGAGATTTTTCTGAAATTTGTTCTTGAACCATCTATCCATCTAGTCAGTATATTCTTTTTCAATCTTGGATACATACACAGAAGAAAGTCGAATTTCATTAATTTGATTGCTTCAAATTAAACAATCAGCTGCTATTTCAGTTACAGTTTTCAGTCACACCATGTTGTATGTATGGTACATATGTGCAAGTCAGAACAGTAGTGGCAGTGGTAGGGAAAGTAGTTTAAAAAACCACGCAGTTAGATCGTTCTACTTGCGCATGTACATGGCAACAAGAGATAAGAAATGTTTAAGTTATGTGACTTTCTCCTCCCTTTCCCCAGCTCTCTGCCACCCAACAGGTCGAGTCAGATTGCTACCCACCCTGAGTCTAGGTTCTGCTCAAGTTTTCATGCTAAAGGAAGTTTTCCCCATGGGTTTTCATTGCCACTGTTTCCAAGTGCTTGCTCATGGTGGGAATTGATGGGTTGCTGTAAATAATATTACAAAGAGTACAGTCTAGACCTGCTCTATGAAAAATGTAATGACATAACTTCTGTTACGAATTGGCGCTATATAAAGAATTGAATTGAATTGAATTTGGCACCTGGAGATCATGCCATGTTTGTGGCTTTTTATTATGCAAATCATTATTTGGAGAAAAATATGTTTGAGGAAACTCTACATCCACATCACTCTGCACACACGCTTTCTTGCTCTCCCACACACCCCAGTGAATAAGGCACATGGAATCACCTTGCAGTCCCTTCAGACTCCAAAGTCAATTGATGCTTCTCCATGGCCATTACAGAGAAACCTCCAGCGTTTCTTTCCTCCAAGAGTGTTTTACTGGGATCATGTAAACTCTTTCATGGTGCGGTGTGGAGATCGAAACAGCGATGGAGAAGGGGATTGGCAGAGGTTTAATGGGCCATTCCACAGTTCTTCAAACTTGTTTATCCAGTGGGTGAAGCTGCTGGATTGGAGCACATGAACCAGTTTGGAAGGATTTGAGATTTTATATAGTTTCAGGGTAGAGTGCTTCTCTTGTAAGTCAGGGGAAACAAAACACTGCACACACATACATCAACACTGCAGCGCTAAGTGTAGAGGAGGGCCATTATCTAACTGCAGGACCTATGTTTCGAAACAGCATGAGGTGGAGAGAGAGAAGAGATCAAAGCATTAGTGCAAACCATGTGCTTTTATTGAAACTGTATGGGATTAACTGTGCTTGTGTGTGTCTGTGTGTGCAAAAGAGTTGAGATGAAATATAGAGCTACCTTATGTTTCTTCCAACTGTTTCCTATCGAAACCACACATAACTGCATTATTACTATTAGCCCAAGAGCAGTAGGGAAGGTGTCTGTATGTGTGTGGTGTTATGTTTTTGTGTGCAGAGGTGTATATTGAAAACAACAACACCCATTTGATGGATTGTGATGTACAGAAGTGATCATATCTCCCTCAGTTTACACAATATGTGTCTTTTTAGCTACATCAAATACACAATATTGGCCTGTCAGTCGTTCTTTCAGTTACCTCTTTGGTGATTTCCATGAACTACATGAAACTCATGGTACCCAGAGGATCAATCCTAATGACTGTTTTGATCCCAGACTTTTTCCCTTACGCCACCATGAGGTTTACATTTGTGGTTTTGACTGAAATGTCTCCACAACAATTTAATGTATTTCCATGTAATTTGGTACAGGTATTCATGTCCCCATCAGGATGTCTTGTTTTTACTTTGGTGATCCTCTGACTTTACATCTAGCGCCTTTGCCAAGTCAAAAGGTGTCCTATACTTCAGTTTATGACCAAATACCTGCAAAACTAATGACATTCCCACGAGCCTCAGATCAGCTTTGTGTTTATATGCTTATTAGCCAATGTTGCATGCTACACTACAATGGTATACATGGTAAATATTATACCTGCTAAACAACAGCATGTTAGCATTATTATTGTGGGCATGTTCTGACATTTTACATTTAGATTTAAAGCAAAAACAAAGCACCCTTATGCCTAAGTACTGTACAGCATCACAAAGTTGGTAACATGTAGACTTTTAGTCTTCTCTTTGCTATTTGTAAATTGTTACACATACACGTTTGCTTTCAATTTAAGTACAGGAAAAAGTAGAAAATAATTAAAACATTTGACTGCAATATGTTATTTAATGACAATAAAATGATGTCGTGATTGAATCCTAAATCAAAAGTTGTTTCCTCCACCACAGTAATATCACATTATTATTAGTTTACATGTGTAAGTTCAAGATTGATCTAAATGATCTCAAAATGTTTGAGATAAATAAATATAAAATAAATTAGCTAAGTGTTAAATATTCACATTAAACCAGATTCAGATGCCGTTTTAAACAAATTCAGAAAGATACTGAGGCCAGGAAATTAATGTCAGTCAACTATGGGTGACCAGAGACATGTCAACTTTCATTTTTGGACTCCATGTTTTACTCATAAGTGCAGGCTGTGGTCAAGGTCTATTCACCGTCAAAATGTTGGCTGGGAAAAACGGGGACGTTGTGCATGTCTATCTCTGTGTGAGTCTTTGCATGTGCACATTTGTACGAGACTGTGATTAAGACCAGAAGGGCAGGGGAGTGCTCTGTCTTCAAAAACAGTTATGCTAACAGATGTGTTCATTTGAGAACGGGGCTCACAGCATGTACTTTCTATTTTAGCTGACAGCCTTCTGTACACTCATACTGCTGGGAAGGCCCTCTTGTCTTTGGAAAAGAAGACCTTCCCTGGAAGAATTAGTGAATGAGTTCAAAGGCAAACAATCTAGACTAGACTGGTTTTTGCTTTGTTAGACTTTATCAGACCAAAGAATGCTTCTGTGTTGCTCCTCCTCAGTATAACAACATGAATAATTGTACATTCACTGTGCACAATGTGTACAACAGCCTACATTTAGGCTGTGTTTGAGGGGACTATTTTCCTCTATTTTCCTGTCAAATGTCTCTGGATGAATGGAGTTTGAACTTTCAGGCTGTTGCCTCTGATAGACCTCAAATGAGCATGTTGTTTCTAGCCACCTGCTCCCCTCTTGCACAGCTTTGAACTTCTTTGTGTATGTGCGCAACCCACAACGTATGTGTGTATATTTGTAAGCTCAGTTAGTAGACTAGTAGTTGGAATGTTGAAAGGTTGTGTCCAACATCTGGAGGTTGACTCCAGCAGGAGTTCGGGAGACAACCGTAAAGAAGAGCTGATGGGAGGTGGGGTGGGGTGCGTCATTATTCATACCAGATGAGGATAGCGGGGATATAAAAACAGTACTTGTGGTATTTTATTTCATTAATTTTACAGTACTTTATTTTCTTTTTTACACACTTTGTTACCAGAAAGTCAGTAGTCAGTATTTCTTACCAAAATTGGTTAAGTCTCTGAATCATCTCTGTAGGAGTCATTTATGTTTATTGTTGCCATGCCCTATGATTTTGTTTAGATACAGCTTGAATTTAGTATTTTGGACATTAGGTGGCAGTCATTTGTTGCACAGGGTTGTAGATTTAGGGGCATATGTGACAGGAAGTGGTAGGCACAGGTAGGGGGATTGCACACAGTTCTAATCAGATCACACCACAATACATGCTACATACGGTGGCCCGTAGGTTTCAGGCCTAATACAAAAGCCACAACACGAACACAAATCCCACAACACGAATACAAACGCCACAACATGAACACAAAAGCCACAACATGAACACAAAAGCCACAACACGATTACAAATGCCACAGCACAAATACAAACGCCACAACACAATTACAAAAGCCACAAAACAAATTCAAAATCCACAACGGAAATACAAACGCCACAACACGATTAAAAATATCCCGCTGTATATTATTTGACCAGAACAAAGTATTACTTATTTATCAAACCATGTAGGCCTACAT